GCAGTGAAGCATGAAGCGGCTACTAAAGTGGCTGAAGCACGCGACTAAGGCAAGGGAGAGAGGGGTGGGGAATCGCGCGAGTGACGTGTGGCGGCGTTTGGTATCGGCGCATTAAGTGGCCGGTGGCGGCCACAAAAAGTGAGCAACGACGATTTGTAGCGTGTGGCGGCCACCGGCGTACCGTCTGTGGCGAGTCCATATAAAATGTATGAAAACTACATGAAATATGCCGGCTGGTGGCGTTTTGTGGTTGGTGGCCCGTGTGCGGCGACACTAAGAGCTTTTAACATTTGGCGACCTCCGTGGCCGAGTGGTTTGTTTGTTGGGTTTCAAGGTGTCGTCTCCTCAAGACGTCCCGGTTCAAATCCAGGTGGGGGCAGATGTTTGTGTGATGAATACGAGCATTTGCACTCCAGCAATGCATGTTTAATACGTATTTCTATGTAAATATACTTATGTATGTATCAGTATAAGTTTTCTGTCCGTCACCCTAGTATCCCATAACACAAGCCTACAGTGCTTTCTTTGGGGCTACGCTAATTGGTGTGAGTGTTGGAAATATTAATTTTTATTTCTTTATAACATTCTAAAAACGGAGGATTCAACATAACCATTCTTTTGTGGAAAAATGGAAATGTTACCTACAAGCAAAAATTATTATCGATACGATATAAGGACACGCAGTCTCTGTGACCACATTTTATTATAATTAAAGTTATAATTAGCTTGTCGCAAGTTTAAGTCAGTGCGTTACTTAAATGAATTTTAGTGACACTGTTGACGACACCGCAGACCGAACGCACTTGTCACGGCGCCATTGACACAGAACACATAGTTTATAGGTACATAGTTGTAATCTCCCATAATTTTGAGTAAAAAATAACTTATTGACATCGGTAGCTTTCTTGGAAATATTCACAGAACACAGAGAGAGAGGTTAGAAGGACCTTGTGGGCAGGGCAGGCTTGACCAAAACTTGGTTCTGATTGCGTCGTTGCTCCCGGGTGTGAGCGCTGATTGGGTCGATTGTTTGATGTCGCGTCGTTTGATTGGCTATTATCTATTAGGTGGAAGTGTACCTAATTGGGGCGAGCCGGCTACATCGGTTCCCGTACAAACGGTCTATACTACTATTCAATAGAAACAAATTATGTTTTCGCAAAAAAATATGTTTTTATTTTTTTGGGTACTTTAGAATTTTGTCGATATTAAAGTAATGTTCGGAATTGTTGCCGTGTACCATGTTTTTTGTGAGCCCCCGATATATAATATTAGTGGCCGTGGAAGCTTAAAACAATATTTTATCGCTAATGTAAACGGGCAAATATTGTAAAAGCTAAAAACGAAGGTCTTTTGAAATAGCGTTCATTTGAATGAAATATTTACGAAGCGCAGCTAGTAGCCGCACCTAGAGGTGACAATTAAATTTAATACTTGTTAAAGTGACATGTCTCTCACTATCACAAATATGAAACAGCTTCCATTTTAAAAGTAGAATGCGGCTGTAAGGCATAATTCTTTGCTCCTCGTAAGCTCCAAAAGTAAAAAAATATATTAACTATCTCGTTTAGTTAAGTAAGACATAATAAGCGAAAGCTTATCCTTGGAGTAGCTATGTCGTAACACTATTTATATAGATGTCTACTTCAACCGCCGTAAGCCAAAAAAATTCAAGCGCCTTTTACCTTAAATGAGACGCTTTTTCTGTCCTAAAGATGAAAAAAACAAGTCCTTTTAAACGAGCTAATGTCGGGACGCGCAGAAAATTCGTTCGTGAGTAATCCCCTAGAATGACAATTAAAAAAAATCATTTTTAAAGCAAAGATTAAAAAAAATATATAGATTCCCTGTTGATTCGAGACACAATAAAAAAAACACCAATGAAGTTAATTAAAAAAATAAAAAGAAATGGGCAAGCTAAACTATGCTGCGAAGAAATATGTTCTGAACATTGCAAGTAATAAAGTCCAAATGTTTAAAGTACCTATGAATAAAGAAATACTTCGTTCACAACAAATTATATCTTTTGAATTTCTGGACGCTTGTGCGATGCGATTCGTTTTCCTTGCGTATCAGTAAAGCCCGTTCCACAGTTCACGCAAGATCCTCGCTGAGAATCTCGACAAGAATCTAATGGCTGGTTTACATTATCTTATAGTGTTTAGTAGAGTGGTTTAGTAGAGTAAAGCAGGCGAGTGCTTTAGTTGAGTTGGTGCCATTCTAGTGGCCGTTACCACTTGTTCCAGTAGAGTGCCATTTAGTCACCAGGATGGACGAGCAACGTTGTGCAATAAGCGCTATTTTGCGCAATATACTAGGTATTGGAACAAATAGAAGAAGAAATTTTATTTCATCAAATTAACCAAAACGTATATGGGTGCGCAAACGGATTAGCCGTAGACCCATACTTGGAGCAAGTGGCTTGTTGCTAACAGAATTAGCTAATTATTCCATAAACATTCGTGGCTCACATATTCATAATCACTAATTCCCGAGTCGTATCTTCTGACCATTACGCCGTGTTAATTTCTGCACGCGTCCACCTGCACTGATGCACCCTGCTAAGTGTCGCCGCACACGGGCCACATGCCACAGCCACCGCCACGAGAAGCTAGAAGCGGCTACTAAAGTGGCTGAAGCGCGCGACAGCGGCCGACTAAGGTAAGGGAGAGAGGGGTGGGGAATCGCGCGAGTGACGTGTGGCAGCGTTTTGTGTCGGCGCATTAAGTGGTCGGTGCGGGCCACAAGAAGCGAGCAACGACGATTTGTAGCGTGTGGCGGCTACCGGCGTATCGTGTGTGGCGAGTCCATATAAAATGTATGAAAACTACATGAAATATGCCGGTGGCGGCGTTTGGTGGTTGTTGTCGGTGGCCCGTGTGCGGCGACACTAAGAGCTTACTTTTAACATTTGGCGACCTCCGTAGCCGAGTGGTTTGTACGCTGGGTTTCAAGGTGTCATCTACTCAAGACGTCCCGGTTCAAATCCCGGTGGGGGCAGATGTTTGTGTGATGAATACGAGCATTTGCACTCCAGCAATGCATATTTAATATGTATTTCTATATAAATATACTTATGTATGTATCAGTATAAGTATTCTGTCCCCTAGTCTCCCATAACACAAGCCTACAGTGCTTTCTTTGGGGCTACGCTAATTGGTGTGAGGGTTGGAAATATTAATTTTTATTTCTTTATAACATTCCTAAAACGGAGGATTCAACATAACTAGTGGCGAGTCCATATAAAATGTATGAAAACTACAAGAAATATGCCGGTGGCGGCGTTTTGTGGTTGTGGTCGGTGGCCCGTGTGCGGCGACACTACACTGTTGACTAATTTGTCCGTTTACATACTGCGAGTAGTAAGGATAGTAAAACGCGGGGGGATGAATGGGCGCGGGAGGGGTGCCACTGGAAACAGAAATAGAAACCGATCCCGATACTATTTTGTTTCTAGTTGAAAGGCGAGTGGAATCGTACTAAAGCGAGTCACTGTAAGCTACCGTTTACACGTTTCTACTAAATTACTCAACTAAAGCACTATACTAAACACTAAGATAATGTAAACCAGCCATAAGTATCGCCGCACACGGGCCACCTACCACAACCACAAAACGTCGCCACCGGCATATTTCTTGTAGTTTTCATACATTTTATATGGACTCGCCAGACACGGTACGCCGGTGGCCGCCACACGCTACAAATCGTCGTTGCTCGCTTCTTGTGGCCCGCACCGGCCACTTAATGGGGCGATACAAAACGCCGCCACACGTCACTCGCGCGATTCCCCACCCCTCTCTCCCTTGCCTTAGTCGGCCGCTTTCACGTGCTTCAGCCACTTTAGTAGCCGCTTCTAGCTTCTCGTGGCGGCGTTTGTGGCTGTAGCGTGTGGCCCGTGTGCGGCGACACTAAGCTACAATCTCGGTGAGAACTTCTTTGGGCACAAACACGCAAGGTTCTCAATACAGTTCTCACGCTCGATTACGATGGACGCAGAAGTAACTGCATCGACAAGCTTGTTACTATGCGCATTTTCATATTATAATTACGCTTATATTAAAGATAAAAAATAAATTAATACGAAGTTGAGAAAAAGAAGATGGTGGATAACAAGTATTCATCGACGACGACACCAGCTCCAGATTTTACCGATTTCTTGAATTTATTTTTATACCTTCTGTTGCTTCCTCATAACGGGCTTATTTCGGGCTTCTGTAGGCGGGTAAAACTTTTCCTCCAGAGCCTGCAACGTATGAGTGGTGAATACCCTTGGTGTTGCAGGTGTCCATGGGCGCCAGTGGCTACTTACCATTAGATGGACGGACAGCTCGTTTGCTTGCATAAACATAAGTTTTTTATAATTGTGTGGATACATTGTTTCACACTATACATATGTACCTTTTGAGTTCTAAAAGCGTCATAGACTTGGTAAACTATAATTAGTATCAATAGCCTTGCAGATTAAGAATTTCTAGGAGAATTTCAACGCGTTCATCAGAGCCGCGGTAGCATAATTGGTCAGTGCATTCGCCCGGATTGCGAAGGGTGCGGGTTCGAGTCCCGTCTGCTGCCTGGTCCGCGTGGATTTTTTTCTAGTTATATTTTCTTAAGTTTCAATATGTTTAATCATATACCTAACTTTGCTGGTGGCAATCATATATTGTAGTGTTCGAGGGCTGTAATAACTGCGACACATTCTTTGACTAACGCAGTTATTAACGTATCTTTTCTTTTTGTATGCCTGTTTTTAATATCTCAAATAATTATTATTGTTATTCTATAATATACTAATACGACAGCGTATGTGTGGATCATACAGGTAAGGTTCAGACTGGGGAGGATCGAAACAAAAATGACATGCGCGGAGTGAAAATATCTGTTGATCTTGACTGCATCAGCAGTCGTTAGGATCCACCAAACTGCATTGGTTCCGCTGTCTGTTCTCTCTATTCTTCTGTCTGACAGTAAACAGTACGATGATGATTTGTTTTTTTTTTCAGGAATACTCTAAGGTCACCCTGAAACACTACAACCGGACGCAAGTGCACCGGGGCTTGTGCGTATCGCGATGTGGGCCGAAAGCGGAAGGCGAGTCGGCCTGGCACGGAGCCGCGCGCGTCTGTTTGCAGCGGGACTTGGCTCAATACAACTTGACGGTAGGTTAAAGTGCGGATAGTTCTTCTTCTTCTTGCTACAAATGGAATATGTTTTCTTGTTTTTTCAATATGATATTTTTATTTGCGCTCTGCTCCTAGTAGTTGTAGTATGTTATACTATAGCCTCTTGCCTTCATCAATACATGCACCATCCAAACACAAAAAGAAGTTTCCTAATCGGACCAGAAGTTCCTGAGATTTGCGCGTTTAACTAAACAAACAATCAATCATACAAACAAACTCTGCAGCTTTATTTATCTAATCTATCTGTATGACACAGCAATCAAAATGCAGGTATAAATTTAATGTATATTTAATCATTATGTAATGAAAGGTGACTTCATGAATCATCTGTGAAGTCATTTTTCAATTTGACGACTCTGTAAATAATAAAACAGGGAGAAAAAAACAGCCCTTGCTGAGTTTCTTGCCGGTTCTTTTCAGTACAAGGTTTCCCGCCGTAGATTTACGAACCGATGGCGTAGCTTCTAGATATTCATGAGTTCTTGTAACAGCCTAAACTGAATAAATGATTTTGATTACGATTATGATATAAGTAAAGATTGAATTTAAAGACTTGACAACTATCCAACAAGTAACATTTGAATGTTGCTGTTTTTCAATCTTTTTTTTGGATTTGCGTTGTCGTGAAGTTAATTTAAAAGAACAAAGATTGCATTCCACTATCAATATGCATATTTCATATTTTGAAGTTATACTTTTTTAGGCGCGTTATGAAAAAATGATGAGAGTGAAATTTTAAGATGCGCGCGCATCACTGTAACACAAAATTTTAACAGCATGAAGTTGGTCGCGAAACTTTTGTGTTTACCGCACTTTAAGAAAATCTACCAACAAAATAGAAATAGAATCTCTATTTAGTGGGTGCTAATGACTGCATTGTGAAGGCCTATCAAAAGTATTTATTAATCTGGAACAACGGAACCAAAGCGCGATTCAGGAGACTACAGAGCCATCTCTTGACCATTGGTGTAGTAGAACCAAAAACCACATCTTTATTTTTTGTAATAAAGTAACAGTTATAGGTATTCATATTTATAATATTTATCCACATGTTTCTAGTTTGTATATTCGGAATACGTGTTTGAGTTTCATACAAGTGCAAATCACATATGTTCTAATAAATTATATTCAGTAGCGATTTTAATTGAATATTTTGATTATTTATTTATTTTTTCAAATTAAAACTGAACTTTATTGACTGTGTCCTTTTCCAGACTTTTTATTAATTTATTGTAATTAATTATTTGCATGCAATTAAAAACTAATTTTAAACGATGCCAAAGAAGGATAACTTCTCACGCGCCTACATAAGTACACGCACCCATTTTTTTTTAAACATTATACATATATATTTTAGACCATTTTAATCCGTGGGAGGTCTAATGTTGTTATTAATTTTTCCCATTAAAATCCTTGTGATTGATGACATAGCAATCAATCTCTATATAAGTAATGTCACTTGACAGACCTAACTATGACTTGCTCGTTATAAATGAATGGGTACATCATTTAGTTGCATTGTACTTCATCTTTTTTCATCGAAGTTACTTCCTTATTCCTTGTCCAATTATAATTATGCATCGTCCGACACTCCAACCACGTATGTATAGTTGTTTTTCCAAGGTTTTATGGAAAATTAATAATGTAAATATATAAATATTTCTTATGATACCCACAAAATTTTAGCTGCAGAGTAAACATATAAACAGTCATGACTCAGTTAAACATTACGAAAAAACTTAAAAAAAAAGATTGATGAAATAGAAAAAGTCGATATAAAGCTATGGAGTGACCAAGGGAAACTGAGATTCATTTAACCCCCGACGAAAAAGGAGTTGTGTTATAAGTTTGGCATGTCTGTGTGTCTGTTTGTGGCATCATAGCTCCTGGACGAACAAACAAATGGATCGATTTGGATGCGCGGTCTGTTTATTTCAAAGCTGTTCATACAAACTTTTTTCGTTCCAGGCGGAGGTATTGTCAGTGAGCTGGTGTTCCAGCACCCGCCTGGAGCCAACCAGTGGGGCGGCAGCGCTGGCCATCCTCCTCGTGGTGCTGCTGGCTCTGGCCTTCTTGGCCACTACGCTCCACGTGCTGGGGGAGAGATGCGCCAAGTCTGACGGTAATGATATGTGTTTTATGACGGTAATGATATATATTTATGTGTGACCAGTATTGGAAGGCCAAAGGAGTTTTATTTTGCCTTTGTTCGATCTAGGTGATGGTAGCTCGGCCGCGGCGCGACTGATGTGTGTCTGGTATTGCATATATGAAGCGTAAGCGTCCGAATTCTCTTGCGCGATGTAGGTTTGCATACTTTATGAGTGCCGCTAGCGCCATCTCTTGACGGGGCGAGTAATTACTTCCTCCATTTGTTATTATGGGCCCCAATTCGAAACTAACACTACTCGCCTATAGTCCACAAGTGGTGCGGCGGCTCTGGCCATCCTCCTCGTGTTGTTACTGGCTGGAGGAACGATGCGCCAAATCTGATGGCTATGCTATCCACGCAAAAACTACTGAACGAATTTGGATGAAATTTGGTACACCTATAGTCTTTGACCTGGATTGAGACATAGAATACTTTTTATCCCAAATATTGTAAGGATCCTGTGGGATTTCCAAATAACGGTCATTAGTAGAGCATAAAGCCTTTGTCTATGATCTGCGTACACATATTTATGACTTTCAATCTTAGCGCGTTCCTTAATATAGCGATATTATAGTTCAAGGAGTAGTAAGAAGTAGATAGTTTTTAAGGCTATTATCCGTACTCCTCTAGATCTCCTCATCTAGTAGCCGTACTCAGACATGTCCCAAGTTGTCTTGCTCTATTGTTATAGCAAAGAAAGTGACACTAATACCTTTAATCAAATTTAAAAGTTAACGTCGCGACGTCAGTTTTCAAAAAGACTTTTTTGGAGAATAATTTTTGAAGTGAAATTCCTTTACGCCGGCTTGACTTGGAGGGTAAGCTGGCGAATACGTTACGCGTTACGAAAAGTTCGGGCGAGGCGAACGGGAGTTGAGTGGGGGATATAAGCAAGAGAAAGCAGAGCGCGCGCACCTTTCCTTTCTCTCTTTCACTTATAGCTAGTAAATGAAATATGTATAGGTGCATACATGTATATATTGTACACACACATATATCTATATATATATAGATAATACCCACAATGTCGGTAAGTCGGATAGCGAAGGGTACGGGTTCGAGTCCCGTCTGCTGCCTGGTCCACGTGGAATTTTTTCTAGTTATATTTTCTTTACATTAAAACATCAAGCAGTTACATGCTTAAAAAATAAAAATTATAAAATATGCATATCCAAAGAATTATACGCGAATGCAAAAGCATTCGTGTATAATTGCATTCACTTTGAGCCGTCCGAGTGCGTTATCGGCTGCTGGTCGAGTGACCGTGACCCGCGTTGCTTCACTACATTCAATATATAGTTAGCTTACGTCACATTGGTGCCGATTCTGGGCTGATTCTCTAAACTTAAAACTAAATTCAACATCAGTTTCTTCTTTTCATTCTCTGTTGTCAAATTTAAGTTTAGGTTTAGAGAATTATGCCGGAATCGACATCATTGTAAACATAATGTTTTGGCTGCCATTCAACTCATATGTCCTGAGGTTTTTTTCATGGAATCATAAAAATATAGGCGACAATTTTAATTAATTTTTTTACTGACTTATTTATACGTGAACTAGTAGATACATTAATCAAAATTAATTAAACTAATTTTGATTAGACAACCGTTTTTATAAAAGTTATATTATTTCCTGTAAGCTGTTCGCGTATAATTACTTTGAGCCGTCCGAGTGCGTTATCGGCTGCTGTTCGAGTGACCGTGACCCGCGTTGCTTCACTATCTTCAATATACAGTTAGCTTACATCACATTATAAACATAATGTTTTGGCTGCTAGTCAACTCGTAAGGCCTGAGGTTTTTTTTAATGGAATCAGAAAAAAATACGCGACAATTTTCATTATTTTATCTACTGACTTATTTAAATGTAAACCAGTAGATATATTAATCAAAATTGGTTGTTTTCGTAAAAGTTATATTAATTTCTGTTATAGCTCATTAAAGCTTATTATAATATTATAACACATTGTTTGCCAATGCATACCTAGTATTTATTTGAAGATAATATAGAATGGTGACGCGTTTATGTCTTTTGTATCGAACTTCAGAATTCTGAATTTTTTTATTTCTCCTAAAGTTTTTATTAAAAAAAAAAACAAATTTAAATATTTACTTAAGAATTAAGTTCGATAAGTGTATTCATTTTTCATACTGGACTGTGAGTAAATCAATATTATAAATTATAAAATTAAGATTTTTTCTGCGCAGGTATAGGAAGAAAATTGAAATTACCTTAATAGATAATTGATGTAGGTATATCTTATGATGCGCACAACCTTCTTACTAACATTATTAAAGTACACTTTTCTTGAAGTCTTCATTACTTTTCCTCGTAATTGCGTGCTGTGCTGCTACTGAGTTCAATCTAAAAAGACGAGAGAAGAAAAAAAAATCTTCTAGACGACGATTAAGGGGGTTTAATAAGGTGTTGAAGTTTGTTGGCGCATCAGCTTCGATCCCAAGCCAAAATAATTGAAGATGCTTGTCGCCATCCAGACGCTTGGCGCCATCTAGACGCTTGGCGCCATCCAGATGCTTGACGCCATCCAGACGCTTGGCGTCATCCAGACGCTTGGCGCCATCCAGACGCTTGGCGCCATCCAGACGCTTGGCGTCATCCAGACGCTTGACGTCTAGCAGCATGCGATACGCAGTTCCTTTTCTTGCGTACCAGCACGATCTAGAACAAACTTTCTTCAGCTATGATATGGCGGTCTTCAAAAGGCGGGTAAACCTTTTCCTTTAGAGATGGCAACACATGAGTGGTACCCTGGGTATTGCATGTGTCAATGGGCTGTAGTAACCACTTATCATCAGGTGGACTGTCAGCTCGTACGCCTGCATAACCATAAAAAACAAAACATTTTCTCTCTTCGTTGCAGGTAATAAGTATCTGCTGGCGTTCTCGATGAAGAAGAATTGGGAGATTTTGACGTACGACCGCTCCAAGCCGCGCAGTGATGATCGCATGAAGGACCTCACATGCATCGAGGGGATAAGGTACCCTCTTATAGCAATTTATCATAGAAACTGCAACGGTAAGATGTAGAGATGAGTAGGAAGGTGTACGGATATCCTACACAAGAATTCTCTCCGCGAAGTTAAAGTGGTAGTAATGTCGTGGTTCATCGTTAAGAACTAAGGAAACCGTATATTTCATTAGGGGTGTTTAACTATAAAATACATAGTATAGAAGGCAATCTCATGTATGTACTTCAATTTTAATTCAAATACAGGGGTCTAGGCTCCGAATATGCTTTTGTCCCATTCGGTGTCGAGACCCTTGGTCCGTGGGGTCCTAGCGCTGTTAGGCTTTTTAAGGAAATAGCAAAAAGGTTCGTCGACATCACAGGAGATCGAAGGGCTGGCTGCTACCTCGGACAAAAAAAATGGTTGCCTGTAAAGTCGGTTTTACGGGCGAAGATTTTACGTGACAACGTCTTTTTCTCGGTAGAATATTTATTGATATGAATATAATTAAATTGCACAATAGGAACAAGGAATTGAATGAAAATAAGAATTGCACAAATTTTAACTATAGAAATATATTTTGTTTACTAAAACATTGTACATGTAAACTTAAACTCATCGTAACGTTACCGAGCGTTACACTTTTTCATAAGTGACTCCCAGCCGCAACCTAATTTAAGACGTTGTCACGTCAAAAAATAGTCTTTGGAACCGTGCCTAAAGGGACTCCTTTTAATAATGTATGTTAGGTATTATTATTTTAAGGTTGTTAGTTATAAATCTTACTATTTTTTCTTTTTTTTTTAATTTTAATACCTACGTTCGGCGGTCCACATTGGCTTTGACTTTTGCACATAAAATTATCGTAGTATTGGAACTTGTATCTAGTTGTTTGATTTATTGTTGAGAATGAAACAGGAAGAATGAAGATATACATCAATAATAACTGAAAAAGGAAGCTCGATGGCAAGTGGTTAGCGCATTCGGCTGCGATCGTTGAACCTCGTAGTGGGTCAATCCACTCCGCACCGGACCCGCGTAGTGGGTCATGGCCGAATCTCCCTAGTCCATCCATAGGGAAGGCCTGTGCCCCAGTAGTGGGAACATTAATAGGCTGATGATGAATAATTAAAATATTTCAATTATAATGTAATTGTTATAATCGACGAAGCGATCGTGTATGCACTGTTGTTTTACCTATAGTTTGAATAGATATTGGTTGGACCATCGCTATCTCTTTACACAAGTCCAAATTTGATACGTCTATGTTAATGTTACACAAATGCATTAATCATAGAAAGTGCATGAAGAATTTTGCTCTTTTAATATCAACGTTAGTACAATTACGCATTGACAAAAGAATAATACATTATATATAGCGTTTAGCTAGCGTTAGCGGAGTTCAATGGCATTGGTTGACGCTTTGGGTGTGGGGTCGTGGAAGTTAGGCTACTTTAGCAAGGTGAACAAGAAACTTTTTCTATCTCGAAGTCCGAGAATCAAGAAAGAATCCGTGCTTCAGAAGGAATGTCTAATTTTTGGTCGCGGCAGCATCTGCAGTCGTTAGCACTAACCTCTTTACACTGGGTACGCTCTTTACCTTATTAGTAGTATCTTTGTTTTGAGTGAAGTAATTTTGCCGAACTATCGATAGTTTACATCGAAAATCATGTACCCTATCGATAGAATCGATACAACCGATATTATCTAAACTATCGATAGCTCAGAACAAGGCAATACTATCGAATGAGTGCAATACTATAGATACTATCGGATACTATTGTAGTTCGTTAATAACAAAGTATTGATAGTATCGATACTATCGATAGTGTTCATTTTAACTGCAACAATACTATCGATAGTATCGATACTAGCGATTGTTTTAGACTAAAGTTTGTGATTGACTATAACACCTGAAAATTGTAAACAATACTATTGCAAATTGTTAAACTATCGATAGTATGGATGCAAATAAAATCGACAGTATCGATACTATCGATAGTTTGTTATTAACGAACTACAATGCTATCGATAGTATTGATAGTATTTAACTCATCCGATAGTATTGGCTTTTTCTGTGCTATCGATAGTATCGATACTATTGATAGTATCGATAAGCCGATCGATTGTCATACGATTGGTTGGCTATCGATAGACTATCGATTAATCATCGATAGTCGACTATCGATCGGCAACACTAGAGTGAAGTATTGGCGAGTGCCCCTAGAGGTATTCGAGGCGGATTGCATTTCCACTCGGCGGGAGTCTCCTCTCCGTCTGGAGCATGTAGATTTTTCGAACCAGATCGGATCGGCTCACTGTAGGGCGTCTGGGAGACACGGACCTCGGCGCTAGTTAGCCCTTGTTGTGGGATGGAAGCATTTTGCTGTGACCGCTGTTTTGTTCATCGTGTTAATGTATTTCAAGTGAACTTCTTGCAGGTTCATTGGCATGCAGTGCGTGATCTTCTCCCACGTCATGCTGATCTATATTTATTCGTACACGGATAACCCACAGTTCATCGAAAGGGTAAGTGGTCTGAGTTACTTCAGCAAATTTATAAGTCACTCTTTTCAGGCCCCGTCAGCACATCAGCGCTGATGCGGTTATCATCTTAGCTTATGCTGAGACAGGGTCCTGGTTTGGTCCTTAGTTTTATTTTTTTAACCTTTCTTTTTTATTATTTATAATGGGGTTAATAAAAAGTGTTTTATTTCTCTCTTTTCTTCTAAAATGAATTTTATTTATTTCTTATGTTTTCACGCACACAAATCTAACACTTTATGAACGGGTTTAAATTTCTTCTAAGATTTCCCGACGTTCCTAAGTTCACAGTGACAAGGAATCTGTTATGGATCTGAACCCGAATGTGATATACTTATCACGATCTTTATTGTGAGATTTTATAAAGCTTGTAAACTCTTGTCAAGTTTTAACCAGCTCATAAATGCCGCATCATTGGCTGTAAATAGCTCAGTACCAACTAATGAATCAAGTTACCAATGTTTAGAGTATTCTGACTTAAATTGTTTGCATTTAAGATGTACGACCAGTTCGGATGGCAAGTGGTGCTCAATTCGCCACTGTGGCTGCAAGCGTTCTTCGCCATGTCAGGGTTCTTGACCACATACGCCACCGTCATTACGGCCAATAAGAGCCCCATCAGTGTGTTCAAGTGTTGCATGGCAGTTATCAACAGATTCATTAGGTGAGTATTCAAAAAGTAGATAAACCTTTAGATTTAATTTTGCAAGATTAACTTAGTGTCGCCGAACACGGGCCGGTACGCCGGTGGCCGCCACACGCTACAAATCGTCGTTGCTCGCTTCTTGTGGCCCGCAACGGCCACTTAATGCGCCGATACAAAACGCCGCCACACGTCACTCGCGCGATTCCCCACCCCTCTCTTCCTTGCCTTAGTCGGCCGCTGTCGCACGCTTCACCTACTTTAGTAGTCGCTTCTAGTTTTTCGTGGCGGCGTTTGTGGCTGTGTCGTGTGGCCCGTGTGCGACGGCATTTACTATACAACAGGACCACAGTAAAATAACACTACCTTTTGGTATAGTTGTGTTTCTGATAATGAGTAGGGTTCCAAGGGTCCACGGGGTAGGTGATTGTGTTCAGGCCGGCAAGGTGAGGATGGCTGGAGAGGCACGCTTTCTGCCGCATCATCTGTCTTCGCGACTGGACTCCAGTTCCACTTAAGATCAGGTGGGCGGGATAAATTGTTGCGCCTCTTATAAAAAAATACTACACTAAACATTATTTCAAGTGAATAAAGAAATGCATTGGTATATTACTTAAAAGTAACTTTAGTTATGTGTAAAGAAAATTTGTACTTGATTGTGCTATCTCAGAGAAGTTCTTTTCATGTAGCAGTATTAGCAAGTTTGCATTAGATGCTTCGTGGCGTTGGCAATACCCAATTCTCTAAATAGGTAATCAATATAATAGGAACTTAAAGTCTTCCTTCTGACACTTATTTTATGGACCTCAGTCCTTAAAATATGTGTCGGGTAATAAGTACTTATTGTCTGTTATTAATGGGTAGAATTACATTTTGCTGAACCATAGATCTGGACGGAAAGTGTGAAGGATTTTCACACGTCTTGCTACACTCGCTGGGTGAGGAGATCCTTGGAGTCTATGATCAGCAATGGATACGTCCTTACCCAGCGGGTGTAGCATGCCGCGGTATGTCAGAATCCTTCACGCCAATTTCGTCCAGTAGCTGATACGATGACGATGATACTTGCTGTAAGGTTCTATGCTGTTCTATATATAATGCTAATTTGATGGTTATCTCCAGATTGACGCCAGTGGCGGGCGTAGCACTCTGGTTTACGATATCGTGGTACCCACTACTTGGCGCGGGTCCTCAATGGTCGTGGCTGGTGACGCGTGAGTCACACGACTGCGCCGAGCGATGGTGGTACCACATCCTCTACGTACACAACCATCTGCCCATGGGCAAGTTCTGTATGGGACACACTTGGTAAGTGCTATGATCTCTAGGTTGACGCCCGCAGTGGTCGTGGCTGGTGACGTCAAACGACGCGAGCGCTGGTGGTATCACAACTTCTACGTACACAACCACCTGCCTATGGGTAAGTTCTGTATGGGACACACTTGGTTGACGCCCGCAGTGGTCATGGCTGGTGACGTCACACGACGAGCGCTGGTGGTATCATATCCTGTACGTGCACAACTACCTGCCCATGGACAAGTTCTCTATAGGGCACACTTGGTGAGAGCTATGATCTCCAGGTTGACGCTCGCAGTGGACGTGGCTGGTGACGTCACACGACGCCAGCGCTGGTGGTATCACAACTTCCACGTGCACAACCACCTGCCCATGGGTAAGTTCTGTATGGGACACATTTGGTAAGTGCTATGATCTCTAGGTTGACGCCCGCAGTGATCGTGGCTGGTGACGTCACACGACGAGCGCTGGTGGTATCACTACCTCTATGTGCACAACCACCTGCCCATAGGCAAGTTCTCTATGGGGCACACTTGGTGAGTGCTATAATCTCCAGGTTGACGACCGCAGAGGTCGTGGCTGGTGACGTCACATGACGAGCGATGGTAGTCACATCCTGTACGTGAATAACCACCTGCCCTTGGACAAGCTCTCTATAGGGCACACTTGGTGAGTGATATGATCTCGAGGTTGACGCCCGCAGTGGTCGTGGCTGGTGACGCCATACAACGAGCTGTTAATAGGCCGGCGCAAATTGTCGTCCATAAAAATGGAATCTTCCTCTAATGCCGTCAATGCGGGTTGTGCATATGGAATCTTGGAAACTTCCGTTGTGTATCGGTGTTTTCTATGAAAACTGACCCCGAACTGCCCAAAACACACACACACACATATATATATATATATTTATATATTTGTGAGATGGGCTAAACGATACCTGGTGGGATCGCAATTCCGAAGAGTGGATTGTTAGGTGCTAGTTGGACTCAACCCAGACTACAAATTTATTTATAAAAAGCCGCAAAAGTATGGAAAGTGGATATATCTCCTTTTGAACACACTACTTAATTGGTGTGTGTGTTAGAAATATTAATTAATTTATTTTCATCTACCGGCAGGTACTTAGCGGCTGACATGCAGCTGCATGTGATAGGTCTGATAGTTCTTCTAGTGGTGCTGAGATGGCGGACGCTGGTAGCGCCGGTTCTAGGAGTACTGGTGCTCGGGTCAGCGCTGGCTTCTGGTCTCGTCACCTACCTGAACCAACTCACGCCTATAGTCACCGGGCAAGCACCAGAGTGAGTAAACCTCAACAATTCAACATCATCATCATTAAGACTGTTAATGTCCCCACAGCTCAGGCACAGACAAACAGTCTGGCAAGTGCACGAGAATGCCTGTATAATGCGATTCAAGTAAGAATAGGACCGACTGGGCGCCATATTTTGACGTCATAGCTGTCAATTCAAACCAAATAGGTAGAGTGAGCAAAACAATTTTGCTATTTAATAAAACTTATTTACTAAGATTAAGTGAGACAAAACATCAGATTTTTTAATAAAATTAATTTACTAAAAGAACACAACCGATTTTTAATAGTCTTTCTTGATTAAGACTGTGTGAAAAAAAACATTAATCAGAATCTAGCTCTTCTTCAATTTCGCTCATCTCTGCATTAATAATCGCCGGAGAAGTTATGTAGTTGTGCAGGTCACATACGAACATGCAGCCTATATGTAAACGAAAGTTTCAAATTGAGTTTTTGAACGCAACATAAAGTGACATTTGGTTGACGATTTAGGTTATTAACTATTCATAACCAAAGCTCAATAAATGAAACAGAAATAACTAATATTAATATCAACATTTGTTATTTTTTGTTTAAAAGTTTTTGGTTTTTATACTAGAATCAGCTGAGTGCTAAAAAAGTGTTCCGAGATATTTATGCAAACCGTACTTTCCAAGCGACATTTGACAGTTTGAGGTCATTGGCTTTCCTATTCTTATTTGAATCGCATTATAAACGTGACGTCAATGTGTGCGGTACAGAAATAACGCTTTGTTCTGAGCTCTCTGCTTGGGGCGAGCCGAAGACTGTTTTGCACTACGATAAAAAGTACTTCCAATTTCAGACATTGATGTTACGTTAAGACAGCTTCAAGTCGAATTTATTCGCGTACACGTGTTGTTACTACTTTTGTTATAATAGGTATATCATACTAAATTGACATAAAATATTTTTATTTTGAACTGACATTGGGAATTGTAATTAATATTGACATAAATTTCAATTTAAATTATAGTGATAAAATACTTGTTATTAAATGAATGATAGGTAAATTTAATATGACTGTTATGTTTTAATATATTAGAATTTTTTGCATGCTATTAATATGGCTAAATAGGTTTAAGATTTTTAGCTTTTAACATATGATTTATATGCAAACACCTTTTGTCAACCCTATTTAATGCAAATAAAGATTATTCTATTCTATTATATTGTTTAGTTACTTTTATATTTATGCTGAGTTCGTTCGGTCAAACCGTTGGGTCTGGATGTATCTACAGTTTCTAGTACCCACCAATCTGCCCACGTAAAAACGTTAGGCGTTGTACCGAATGCACGATCCTGACGCGTAATAAGTTCCCAAATGGCCTCGTCCACAAATATTTAATTTAAAGGAATTCAGGACTGAGGTGAAATACGTATACAGCCTTGTAAAGCAGTTATACCCTGCTACAGTAGTACAGTCTGTAAAGAATATAACACTTTATTCCATTATGTTTTTATTTATTTTTAAGCATTTAACTGCTAGATGTTTAAATCTAAAGAAAAGTTTACTAGAAAAAAATCCACGCGGACCAGGCAGCGGACGGGACTCGAAACCGCACCCTTCGCAATCCGGGCGAATGCACTGACCATTATGCTACCACGGCCCTATTCGCCGCGTCGAAATTTTCCTAGCCTTAAGCTGCAAGGCAGCGCCATCTCTTCGCATTGTAGGTAACCCACAATGTCAAATGAATACTCTTTCAAGTATTAAACATTTGAAAGAAGAAATAGCAATTATAGTTATGTTTTTATTTATTTTTAAGCATTTAACTGCTAGATGTTTAAATCTAAAGAAAAGTTTACTAGAAAAAAGGAAAATTTCGACGCGGCGAATAGGGCCGTGGTAGCATAATGGTCCGCGTGGATTTTTTTCTAGTAAACTTTTCTTTAGATTTAAACTTTATTCCATTGTTTATATTCGAATGTAAACCCGTTGTGCCCTTATTTACATAAAACTGGCGTTCCTCAGAGTTCTTCGGACAATGTTCTTTGGCTCGAAGATCCTGTCCCTGGTGTACCTTCCGAGCTGGATGAACCTAGCGGGCTACGTCAGCGGGATGGCCACTGCCTTTGTATTGCACCATCTACAGTGCGCCGGTGTCAAGCTCAACCAGAACAAGGTACAACTATAACTTCAATATTCCTCATGTGTATGTTCTTTGGTTCGAAGGGCCTGTCTCTGGTTTACCTCCCCAGCTGGATGCCTTTCTACTGCATCACTTACAATGCGCTGGTGTCAAGCTTAACCAGAATAAGATAAAACTGATCAGTAGTTTGAGGAGCTCGATGGCGCAAGTGGTTAGCGCGTTCGGCTGCGATCGTTGAAGTTAAGCAACTTTCGCAGTGGCCGGACATTGGAGCTGAAGGCACGTTAAGTCGTTGGTCCCGGCTGCATCTACAGTCGTTAGCACTTAGCAATTCACACTGAGCCCGCGTGGTGGGTCATGGCCCAATCTCCCTATTCCATCCATAAGGAAGGCCTGTGCCCCAGTAGTGGGGACATTAATAGGCTGTTGATGTGATCAGTAGTTTATAATACCAACAATACCAATATGTATTTAAACTTTATTGAGTTGATCCTCATTCTTCATTGAAAATTACTATTTTTTATCTTCTTTGTGATGTTTATGCTGTATAGCTTCCTTTCCTTTACTTGATTACATTGTTATGATGTTGACTACTGACTATTCTTTGTGACTGCCTACTAGTTTTTTGTTAATAATGTTAGCGGTATGAAAATCTCGCCAGTTTTGCTGTCAGGAGTGAAGTGTGAAGGTGGTTCGTGCGCCATTTTTACTTGCCCTTAAATATTATTGGTTTATATATATATATATATATGTATATTTATTTTATTTCAAGTAACAAAGGCTTATATCATACATAATACATTTATTACCTATTCAATATTATTGAATTATTAAATTAAAATTATTTCCGAACATTCACTAAAATCAAAATTGAATTACAACATTTAAAATATGTCAATAATACTTATAAAACTAAAACAACACAACACAATGTACCTAATTAAACTGCTCTGCCACAGTGTGCAATGTGGTTGATATTTATTTATTTATTATAAAGACAATCACAGCTCGATATATTTCTACATGAAAAATTATTTTTAAAGTTTTGGAGGCCAATTAAGATCATCCACTTTGTAACATCGAATCCGAATACAGTTGTATGCGTCTTTTTCGACGTCGCCGACTCGAGAGGTCCCGGGTTCGAATCCCGGTGGGGGCAGATGCTTGTATGATGAATACTCCAATTAAAATATTTGTACTCCAATCATGAATGTTTCATCTGAATATGTACCTATGTGCTCAAGGAAAACCAATTTAACATTAATATAAAAATACATGTGTCTACACATAAATATAATTAGGTATTTATACATAAATACATATAAATAAAAATATAATTATATGATTATATGAATATAAGGTTAATCGTGCATTTAATATAACATAAGGTAAAAACAAATTGCAGTTGCCTCTTCATAAACCCGGCCTCTAAATTATGAACAAAGAGCGGGAATCTATATAGGAGGATATATCCTAGTCAAGCCTATCTGCTAGCACATCCAGCATGCTGTTGGCACTCCCCCCCGCACTCGCCGCACCAACGAAGCGCCATGCTTGCGCATTATGGCATAAAAACAATTTGTGCAAGCTTTCGCAAACATTGTCGAGGCGCTACAAAAACGTGGGAGCCCCATCAACATTCTAAACGCATTGTTGAACTGAACTCAAAGGGCGTTATATGATTTCAGAGTGTAATTAGTCCAGAGGCTGCATGTGTAGAAAGAAGAGCAAAACACCTTAAAAAGAGTGATTTTAATCTCAGTGGAACACCTTGCGAATCTGCGAATTATCATGTTCGATCTGACAGCTAGAGACCGTTCCCGCTCAATGTCAGCATCGTCCTGCAAGGTGGGAGTAACTAGATGACCCAGATATTTAAACTCCTCTACTCTAGCCAACGGGGCACGGGGCAATAGTGATGGTACTTCAGTCACTTTCTTAGAGCCACTCTGAATACCTATGATTTCATTGCCACTCACTGAGCGCCTCAATCAGTCCATTGACATATAATTTAAAAATAGAGGGAGAACTGAGTCCCCCCTGTCTTACACCACATTCCAATCTAAACGAGTCCAATAGCGTGCCCGCCCATTTCACGTTATTTAAATGATTTCCGTACCAATATTTAAATATGTTTATAATGTCATCTGGTATATTCGACTGTTTAATTTTATTTCATAAGATGTCATATGATACGAGGTCAAAGGCCAGGTTTAAGTCCTTGATCAGGGTATAGTGAATTTTAGTTAAAAGCTCTTCAGTCTTGTCAATTTTATTTTGCGTTACCCCCTATGGTTACCCGTCGTTTACACCAAGAAACAAATGATATACTAGTTTTACACAAAACTTGTAGAATACTTTTTGATGTTGTCTTGTCTTTCGCATTTGATTTTTTGCGTCCATTGCGTCGACGCCAGTCAGAGCTCCCATTAAAACTTACTTAACACTACAGAAACGTAACATAAATTAGTCTTCCACAGAAGAAGATTATTCCGTAGGCTTATTGCTAATCATATATTTTCTATAGTGGTTTAACATACTATTCCACCTGTCGCTGACATTGGGCAGCGTGGTGGTGATGGCCGGCGCGGTATTCCTTCGTGAGGGCGGGGGAGAGGCGTCGTGGGCTAGCGCGCTGTACTCCGCGGTGGACCGGCCGCTGGTGGCCGCGTGCTTCAGCGCCTTCATGCTGGGCTGCTTCGTGCGCTGCAAGTGTGAGTACACAGGGTATACTGACGCTGGGCAGGGCGGCAGTAATGGCCGGCGCACTTTTCTTTCTGAAGGCGGGGGAGAGGCTTTGGGGCGGGTGTGCTGTACTCCGCGGTGGACCGGCCGCTGCTGGCCACATGCTTCAGCGCCTTCATGCTGGGCTGCTTCGTACACTGAAAGTGTTAGTACCCAGGGTATACTGACGCTGGGCAGCGCGGCAGTAATGGCCGGCGCAGTCTGCCTCCGTGAGGGCGAAGGAGAGGCGTCGTGGGCGGGTGCGATGTACTCCGCGGTGGACCGGCCCGCTGGTGGCCGCGTGCTTCACTAATGTTTATGTTCCAATGAAGAGTTCGTTGGCACAAGTAGTTAGCACGTTCGGTGTGCTCGACAATTACCTCGAGCTCTTCCGTGCTTCGCAAGGCATGTTAAGCCGTTGGTCACGGCTGCATCTGCATACACCAATCCAGTCTAAGACCACGTAGTGGGTTAAAGTCCAGTCTCCATTACATTCATACTAACAGCCTATGCCCATAAAGTGGAGATTAATAGGTTGATGATGATGACATTGTTGTTTTCAGCTGCTCTTCGTGATATGTTTGAGTGGCGCGGCTTTCATTCTTTGGGGCGTCTGTCGTACTGCGTGTTCGTCATACATTTCATAGTGCTAAGGCTTACGCTGGCTGGCAACACGCAGCTCAACCATGCTTCTATATACTCGCTGGTGAGCCTATACTCATTTTTGTAGTTAAATAGGATCTATACTGGTATAAATTCTGGCATGATTCACTAAACTTAAAACTAAATTTAACATCAGTCTCTCCTTTTCAAGCTGTACAGAGAATGATGTAGAAAGGTCAAAGGGGAAGATCTTCCCCCGAGCTGGGTGATGTTAGCTCGGGGGCCGCGGCCCGACTGATGTTGGTCGGGCATCGTATATATCAAGAGTTAGCCTCCGAATTTCATTTCTGCGATGTAGGCTTCCATACTATTAAGATCGTAGTGCAGGTAACGCCATCTCTTGAGGACGGTGAGTAATGATTTCCTCCATCCGTTGTATCACAAATGACACATATAAACTGTTGTCAAATTTAAGTTAGGTTTAGAGAATCATGCTAGAATCGACACCATTGTCTACCTTTGTGGATGTGTATCGAAATTAACCAACCAACCAACTACTTTTTTTCCAGATAACCCTTCTTATATCCGTCTCTATCCTGTCATACGTCGCCGCAATACCTTGCTGTTTGCTGATAGAATTGCCCGCGATAGAACTGTGGCGAGCAATCACGCAGTTTGACAGAAGAGAACAGCCATCGGTAGTGCAAGAACCGCCACAACCAGCCGTGAAACCCTTGGACTTGGTCGCCGGCATTCAAAGAAGGCAGGAGGTTTAGTGATAATATACCTAGTTTTACTGCGAAAAAGTTGCTAGCTGTGAAACACTTGGATTTGGTCACCGGGATCAATAGAAGACAGGACTTTTAGTGCTAAGATAAGTTCTTTTAGTCAGAAAAGGTTACCAGCCGTTAAAACACTTGGACTTGGTCGTCGGCATTCAAAGAAGGCAGGAGGTATAGTGATAATATGTATACCTAGTTTTAGTGCGAAAGAATTGCTAGCTGTGAAACACTTGGATTTGGTCACCGGGATCAATAGAAGATAGGACTTTTAGTACTAAAATAAGTACTTTAAGTCGGAAAAGGTTACCAGCCGTAGTTTAGTGATAATTTAACGCCTTTTAGCCTGAAAGAGTAGCCAGTCGTAAAACCATAGAAGGCATGAGGTTTATTTCTAATATAAGTTTTTTGTCGGAAAAAGTTACCAGCTGTGAAACCCTTGGACTTGGTCGCCGGCATTCAGAGAAGGCAGGATCTCTTTTAGTAGTAATATAACTCCTTTTTGTCGGAAAGAGTTACCTATCGTAAAACCATTAAATGCAGGAGTATTAGTGCAGTAGGAATAGTTGTGCATTCTACGCTTTCGCGACTAGTCTCGCGATATCCGACATGCTGGTGGCAAGTCGCTACTCCTACAAAAAAAGGCTAACTTGCGTTTGCAAAAAGACAACGAGAATCTGCACGAGAAAATGGTAGCATTGAAAAAACGAGGTTGCTCATATGAAGACGGCTCCTCCGTCGGCCCCATGCCCAAATTGCACGGCAAAAAATTAATATATTTGAATGGCTGCGGAGCATGAAGTATGTGCTCCAAATGACGATAATTAACGAATATGACATTTTTTTCTATAGCATAATGAGTGGACGTCGAGTTGCGATCTGGTAATCCGTTATTGTAATAAGAGATTGGCCAAGTCGCTGGTATTCAAAGTCCAGTACCCTTAGCATGAACCAACATCGAATTCGAATAGTTTGCGAGTTCGCAATGTCATTGTCAAATGTGTACTGATTTTTAGTTCTCGTTACGTCCTTCGTGGCGCTGCTGTTTAAGTTTCCATACAAAATTTGACAATGACATTTCGGACTCGCAAACTATTCGAATTCGATATTGGTTCGTGCTGGGGGTACGGGGCTGTGAAAATCCATTGCTAATAATGATGTTCGGAGTTGTTAACGTGCTAAGTAGGCTTCATGCCGAGTTAAAAATAAGCCAAAATACGTACCTAAGCGTGTGTTTGTGTAAACTGAAACTTTTTGTATAAATCTCAGAGTAATATGAGATAAGTAGGCCATAAAGTTGGAGGGAAAGAACTAGAATTATTATAATTTTTGTAAGTATCAATAAACTTATAATAGGCATTATAAGAATTAACAAAGCATTCATGAAAATATTATTGAAAGATAATAATTGAATATTAATTTTGTTTGAATCAAAAAGATTGTTCTTGCTTTTTTGTAAGATTGGTGATAAATTAAATGTTCTTGTTTCACACAGAGTGGAATGACAACAGATTCTATGCATTCGTTATTTGTCCGCTGTGAAAATCAATAAATCATAAGTTCAAAATAATTTTTGAACTTATTCTAGATTATTAAACTGATATTATCTATATTTTAACAGCAGATCACGTTATCACTGTCAAATATTTTATTAATCCAATTGATAGGTACCTACTCTGTTTATTAGCTACAGCAGGGCCGGATTTAGGATTGTGGAGGCCCCGGGCCACTTAGGATTTGCATGCTTGATGACCCATCGAATGTTGTTATTTCTTAAGTTGTTGTGGAGGCCCCTGGGCCACAGCCCCACCTGTCCTGCCTTTAATTCGGCCCTGGTTAGAAAAGATGATTACTAGAGAAAAAATCTTTCAAATTACAAAATTACAAAATTTGAAAGATTTTTTTTCCGAAGTCTCTATTGTGGGGGCCCCCCGTTTACTAAATCCGGCAGTGAGCTACAGTAATGTGAATTAATTAGTAATATTTATTAAAGAAGGTAAATCACCCTTATCTGTAGGTACTCACTAAGACAAGCATTATTGTTTACATTGTATAATTGATTTCTTAGTCAAAATTAAATTACATTATGTAATTGATTTCTTAGTCGATTTTGTTAAAAGATATCTATCAGATGAATTATGACCTGGGCAGTTTTGAGAAAATTGACTTGATGTGCTGTTGACCATTGTAAAAAAAATGTTTTTAAGGATAAGTGAGCGTGTACAGAATTATGTTAAAAAAAATAAAGTTTTTATTTTTTATAATAATTTATTTTATTTACACCATGGCCTCTTAAGTTTAGGTAGAATCAGTTTCAATAAAATACTGTGAGAGAAATGTAGTAACTCAACTCATTTTTCTGGTCACTTTTCATATTACTGTACAAAGACAATAAAACTTTGTCTTTATTATTTTTAGTTTTTTTTATGTAAGTACCTATATCTTTGATATACATTTTTGTGATTGTAGTTTAATGCGCCCATTCATTCGTGACCACTGTGATTGAATGACGCGGAGAACAGTATTGAATACTTTGGCTCTCATTCAAATTATTCTCTCTGGAGAAACATAAAAATATTTAGCTATCGCTTAATGCTTCCAATATGTACAGAAAATCACAAATTTAGTTGCCACAAACTGTCAATATTGATTGTTAATCCTTATCAAAACGAACAAAAAGCTATCTTTCAATCAGTCGGAAAAAATACAGTTTTGGTAAACTTGATTTGTGGCTATCGGTAAAAGGTATTCTGAACATAGTTAATGAATGAATATTCATTCAATCAACTTCACATTACATTCTATTTGAACTGATCTTGATTAATTTGTATTCAAGTGTGTATTTTTTTTTGTGTTTACTATTTAGTATTCGTAATAGTGACGCATACAGAACAATAAGGATTTTAAATTATTTCATTTTCTATCGATCCGATTGCTATAAGTAATTCTATTTCATAGTAATCATGGAATCTTAGCTATGGTATACATCGCAGAATATTACTAGTGCAAAAAGTGTATAGGCACAAAACTTACCAACAGTAATACTTAAATTAATTACTGGCAAGATCAGGTTAACACAAAATTTGTTATATCCTATATCAGACTGTCACATATAATTGAAATCACATGAACCATTATCATAAAAAAATAAAGTATAAACATTACATCTAAGTTCAAGTATAATACAGTAAAGTAGAGCTATCAATAACTAATAAAACAACATATAATAGCTAATACAAATAATACTAACTCAATAAACTATAAGATTTACCATAACATCGCAGCTACCTACATTAAAGGTAATGTATCTATGAACATAGATTAAAACAAAAAGGGATGATACAGTACGCTCATCTCATACTAGCATCAAATAAAATATGCTCCGACTCAACTACATAAGCAACTCTCACACACGCACACATCTGTAAATAAACATTCAATCGAACGAGCGAGACAGAACTGTACGCTTCAACGCAGCGCGAGCGAAACGGCGAGGCCGCGTCCGAGACCGCATGGCACGGCTGAGCTGTATCGTTGTCCTTTTCTTGATAAGAAATGGCGATTACGTAAATAAAATACACGACAAACCGTGATTTTTGAGAAAAAAATGTTTTTACAGTTTTACAAATGAAAAATGTTGCCATGTCATTTATTTGATTTTGAAGTATTTGTGTCCTTTAAGAAGCATCGAAGGCATTGTTTTAACTTTATAACACAGAATATACGCAATATTGTTTTTTTGTGTGCACATGCAGCGTGTTTGAATGTCGAATTGTGACTAAAGCGAATTGTGGTCATGAACCACAATTTAAGCGGTTCAATATTGAGCCGCGGGTGCCGTATCTTCCCTTTTTGTTTTAATCTCATTCAATGACTAAATTCAAACACCACAACATTAAATATATATTTCAACATTTGAAACTTATTTTTTTTATTCCCCGTATTAAATTAAAAGATTTTTATACTTTTGTTTTATTATATTTAGTTATAAACTCGGCCATTTTATTTCTTTTCAAATGTCAAAATTTACTTTAATTTCATAATAATATAGTTACGCGGTAGAACTAATTATTACGAATAAAATTGCAAAATATTTATGATAAAAAGAAGCCGGTAAAACGGTTTTTATAAAGAAGTTCCTACAAACTTGTTGTAGATTGCACTTGCTCAAAGTCACAGCTCTAAATAATCACGGAACCGCTAAAATTCTTCTATCAACACTGATTGATAATGCATTGTTTTTCATTCCGTTTTCAAAGACTTTCCGTTGCTCTGAAATTCTCTGATATTTCCATTATGAGGAGTAGAGTTTCCATTTCCATTCTGTATTATTTTCCCATCAATGTGTACTCCATTCCCATTGGCTTTCACTGTAGATTTTGACTTAGTACTAGGGAATGCTAGCAACTTTACCACTTCGCCAAATGGAGCTTCAACAAGCATGTACATTATGAAACCGAAAAACAATGATAACGTAACAAGTCCAGCGAATTCTTGGATCTGTAAAAGAAAACAACACTCTTAACACTTTTCTTGCTATATCGAACTGCTTCCAAGTAAATTCAGCCGAGAATATAGGTCGGCTAACTGGCTGAAATAGTTCTCAGACAATAATTTAAACAATGACTGGCAAATGATAAATGTCAGTAATCTAGTGAAATTTGTATTCAGGGATTTCAATTGTGTATTCGATTTCCTAATTAGGTCACTAAATTGTGGAGAGTTGAAATAAAATTACCTACATATAATTTAATTAAGAGAGGTAGCGCTCGATGGTGCGGGTGGTTAGCGCGGTCAGCTGCGAACGTTGAAATTAAGTAACTTTCGCAGTGGTCAGTCATTGGATGGGTGACCAAAAATCTTCTATCTCGAGTTCCTCCGTGCTTCGGGTGCTTCGGAAGGCATGTTAAGCCGTTGGTCCCGGCTGATTCTGCAGTCGTTAGAACCCGCCAATCCGCACTGGGCATGTGTGGTGGGTTATGGCCCAATCTCCCTATTCATAGGGAAGGCCTGTGCCCCAGCAGTGGGGACATTAATAGGCTGATGATGATGAGTTGATTTTTAACTTTCCAGTGTAAATAGTAACACCCTGGTTTTACTCCAGTATGGAAATCTAGCACGCGGCTAGTCTTAACGGGACTCTATCCGAGGGGCATTGGTCCTCAGAGTGTCAGGTGATCGGAGTATTGTGCGTGGTCTCGGTGGGTAGGGCACTGCTCATTTCACCTAGTCCTGAACTCGACGAAATGAGCAGGGAAGAGTTTTTACAACCTCGTTGCAGTCGTTAGCATCCGCCAATCCGCACTGGGCCCGCATGGTGGGTCATGGTCGAATCTCCCTATTCCATCCATAGGGAAGGCCCGTGACCGAGCAGTGGGGACATTATAAGCTGATGATGATGAGGGCATAGCGGGTTCTCCTTTCGGATTTGAACGCCCGGATGGGGAATTAAACTCCACCTAACAGGAGACCAGAGTTAAACATCAATGACTGGAGTACAAATGCACGTATTCATCACACAAACATCTGCTACCACCGGGATTCAAACCCGGGACCTCTCGAGTCGGCGACACCATGTTACCCGGCGTACAAACCACTCGGCCACGGAGGTCGTCAAAAAAATAGTCAAAGTGGTTTTTTTTATCGTTGACTGCAGTGTTGCCCTAGCTTCACGGGGTTTAAATACTATTGAGTAGTGCGGCGCCTATAATCTCATTAAGTGATTAACGTCACAATTAGATCATTGCTGATATTTGTTAACTCTTATATCCGGGAGGCTGGAAATGCCGGGAAATGACGTCAGGAGAATGGTGATTGACGAAAAGTTCCATTGTTTCTAGCCACCATCACTTGCGTGGAGAATTTGCAGTATGACAGGCATCCAGATGGGGCTCACCAGGATCCAACTGTACAACCGCAACTGCGGGTCTTTAGCACCCACCAATCTGCACGAGGACTGGTGCGTCACGGCCTATTACCCCTATGCTATCCATAGGAAAAGCCTGCACTTCAGCAGTATGGTCATTGACAGGAAGATAGTATAAAAATTTGCGCGCTGACGGTGGTGATATGTGACAACGTGCCCTTGGTACCACCGACGTAGTACACCCACTTACTCTCTGAGATGGGGATATCCAGGATACAACTGTGTAACTGCAACCCTGGGTCTGCATCTACCAATCCGCACGACTGGCACCTCATGGCCCATTACGCCTTTGCCATCCATAGGAAAAACCTGCACTCCAGTACTATGGTCATTGACAGGAAGATAATATAAAAATTATCGCCCTGACGGTGTTGATATGTTACAGCTTGCCCTTGGTGCCGCCGTAGTAGCGCAACACTTATTCTCTGAGATGAGGCTCTCCAGGATCCAACTGTGTAACTGCAACATTGGGTCACTAGCACTTACCAATTTGCACGAGGACTGGAGCGTCTTTCCCATTACCCCTATGCCATCTATAGGAAAAGCTTGTGCTCCAGCAGTGGAGACTTTGATATGAAGCTATGATAGTTACCATGCTGACGAGGGTGATGTGTGACATTGATGCCTTGGTGCCGCCGACGTAGCGCACTATCATCACGTGCGTGGCGAACATAGAGTACGACAGCTTCGCCAGCGGCACCCAGATGGGGCTCTCCAGGATCCAACTGTAGAACCGCAGTTCTGAGGACGATAATGCGCTGGTTATTCTTACTCTGTACGCTACAGCTTTCAACAGCGTATTGCCAATATCAATAAATAAACGGGGGTACTTTTACAACAATCATCTCACTTACCGCAAACTTAGTAGTCTTGTGTTATAGGTGATAGATAACGTATTATAAAATTACTCAAACATCTATAAACATGCATAACAATAGGAAAATGCACGTGTTCATCACACAAATACTTATGTACCTCTTCCGGGATTCGAACCCAGTGTACTAATCGCTAGCCAATAGTAACAACAGAGTTTTAGTCATCATTAGTTAAGAGAAATTATTGCATTCATTCCCATCTAAAGTTAAAAAGAACACCAGTAAGTACCCTTAGTACGAGTTTGAGCTCACCAAAACTATCATAGTTTTCGTTATTGTAAATTATGTTTCTATGTCCATTTTGGTGAATAGTAACCAAATATACTAAAAATTTAAGAAGACGCAAATGATTAAATGATAGAATTTAAATACTGTTTATTTGTATTGAAACGAAAACAATAAAATCAGTACCCTGAGCATGAGTGCGAGCTCACGAAAACTATCATAGTTTTCGTAATTGTAAAACTCGTACTAAGGGTACTGAATGGTTGGTAAGGGAAAACTATTCAATTAGAGAATACTCAATAAAACAAAGCAGGATTTTCTAATATGATAATTAGAATCATCATCATCGACCTCTTAGATGCCTGGAATGGTTACTGCTATATACTGGAACTCCAGTGATTTATTATTATGATCAAAATATTGTACAGAGCCAGTTTTTACTTATGTTTTTATTTATTTCTAAGCATTTAACTGCTAGATGTTTAAATCTAAAGAAAAGTTTACTAGAAAAAAATCCACGCGGACCAGGCAGCGGACGGGACTCGAACCCGCACCCTTCGCAATCCGGACGAATGCACTGACCATTATGCTACCATGGCCCTATTAGCCGCGTCGAAATTTTCCTAGCCTTAAGCTGCAAGCTGTTTTTTTTTCTAGTAAACTTTTCTTTAGTTTTTACTTATTCCACCCCCAACCATACTTTACGTAATATCTCCGGGAGCTACCGTTCAGTTCCAGTCATCAAGTTGGATTGTGAGTGGGTAATGTAAGCATCTTATTTTTCACGTGAAAACAGCTAATCTTGCTATATGCTATAGTATACTGTATACTGCCAGTACATACCTTCAATTTTGATAACCATTCCTATGATAATCAAGCTAACAATTAGTCCTTGTAGAGGTTTCTCAACCATAGCATGAATAATCCGCATCCACATGGATGTTTGAGAGCCATCCGCAACGAAGAGGAAGTATTGCGTTATTGGTAAAACCAGCATCCAAGGGAACAACGTCCAGAAGGTGTAAGCGAACACCTGGAATAAGATTCTGTATGAGATTTCTTGAAGGAATTCAAATAATGCATGCTTATAAACCCTTATTGGAATCACGACATTTATTTTATCCTCCTCCTCCTAATGTTATAAATGTGAATGTTTGTATGTTTGTCGGTTTGTTACTCAATCATTCAAAAACTACTGAACGGATTTGGATGGAATTTTGTACGCATACAGTTTGACCTAGGTTAAGACATAGGATACTTTTTATGTAGGAAAGAAGTTAGGTTCCTGTGGGATTCTCAAAAAACTAAAGTAAACGCGAACGAAGTCGCGGGCAGCCGCTAGTTCTTGATATATCTAAGAAAAGTATGTGCAAAGACTACATGTCTTTGCACTTTAAAAGTTCAACAATTCATTATTTTAGCAAACAGTCTAGTCGGGCTAAAGTTGTTCCTTAATGCATAAATGATGGGACGGCATCCCAATTGTTATCGAACTACCACGTTCGTTGGTTGACATAAAACCAGCTTCTAGAAAAGAAGTTCACACCAGGAAAGCAAAATTTTCGGATTCTGTTTTTCTTTGATTTTGATGGGATTGATTCAGATCCTGCAACTTAAGTTCCACAGGGAGGAGATGGAGTCGTCGGAGGCAACGCCTTTCGTCATCGTCACTGTTGTGGTGATTTACTATTAGAAGAATCTCTCGCCTGGTTTGCCATTATTAATAAATAAATAAAGAATAAATAAATATTTCCAACACTCACACCAATTAGCCTAGCCCCAAAGTAAGCACTATAAGGCTTGTGTTATGGGACACTAGGGTATCTGATAGAATACATATACTGTTCATACATAAGTATATTTTTATAGAAAATACATATTAAACATCCATGACTGGAGTACAAATGCTCGTATTCATCACACAAACATCTGCCCCCACCGGGATTTGAACCCTATCTCGAGTCGACGACACCATGAAAGACGGCGTACAAACCACTCGGCCACGGAGGTCGTCGAAATGATTATTATTAACCAATATTAACTACCATGATGAAACATGATTACCTTTCGTAGCTTTTTAGGGATTTGTATTTGTTCTATGTCCGTTAAGTAGTATCCCAAGTACATGCCCATGAAGAAACATGGCATGTTTGTGTGCGTGGGGACGTATAAATATTTGAACGTCGGAACAACCACCAGGTAGTTTCGGATGGCCCTGTCAACCATATAAATAAATAAATATTAGAAAACAATAATATGCTTTTGTGTAATGGAAATCATAAATAATGAGGCGGATACTTTAGTCACTAAATGTTAGTTTCTTTTGGATGATTTAGTGGAGGTGTTTCCACTCAACTAGATGTTTGTTCAACATCGTGATGTATTAATTAGTCCTTTGCCAATATGCAAGATGATTCTTCACGCTACATTTAAGGAACACGAAGTCAGGCTAATAAAAGGTAAAATTGTACCTACACGAATAGGCATAACATTATTTCTGATGAAATCTGGAATTGTTTTCAAAGAGTTTGTACAAAAAAATTGATTATAAATTTGATATTTCTCGATGCTAGAACATTAGACTGATAATTAAAAAAAAACGCCCTGATTGCCACACTAGTCAACAGATTAGAAACAAAGTTACTGTTCGTCTCTCTAGGGTGTGGTGACCTACCTGGTGTGAGGGAGTCTAGCTCATTCAAAATAACTGTCTGTACTAAATACTGCTAAAATTAAGTGAAACTTACTCCGCCGTAATTAGGAAGTTGCCATCCACGCCCCGGAAGTAGACCTCTAGAGCAGGGAAGATCATGCCGAGTAGGAAGAAGATGAAGATCGCACGGTTCCTGGCCTTCACAGTTGGGGACAGCACCACCACCATCAACCCTATGATGTGCAACTGCATATCACACGCCATAGACCTGGGTGGAAAATAAAATAAGAGAAATCAAAAAATCATTTATTCAGTCTAGGCTGATACAAGCACTTATAAAATTAGAGAAGCTGCGCCATCGGTTCCCAAAACTACGGCGGGAGACCTTGTACCAAGAAGAAACGGCAAGAAATTCAGAAAGGGCTGTTTTTTCTCTGTATTATTATATACAGTATCGTCAAGTTGAAAAATGACCTCAGAGATAATTCTGGAGTCACCTTCCATTACATAATTTATAATAAAGACACAATAAGTTTTTATAGTGAGCTTTACATTTTTTGTATATAGGAAACGGCTACAGATACCACATTATTGTAATAAAAATGTCTAATACCCATTATATTACAAATTACATGATTATGATCATTAAGATAATCATCCACTTCATAATAGCCCTAACTCATAAGAATATTCTTGCCCTCAGGTTTAAATTTAATCAGAGGAAGTCACATCAGATATTGGGGAATTTTATTAAACAATGCAATAATATAACCGAGAATTGAACCTCTTGATTTTTGGAAACCTGAATCATGAAACGGCAAGCTTGTTCTTAGGTTTCGTGTTAAAGTTATGGGTTTGACTTTTTTTTCGCAAATGCGTTTAGTTTTTTCTTACAAATATTATATGTTAAAAATATTAATTTCTTTAAAATTTTCTCTAAGAGAATCTCTTGTTTTTAAGATGTATATGGCGCGAACAGCTCTCTTTTGCAGTATGAGAATACTATCGATATTAGCAGCTGAACCCCACAACAAAAGGCCATATGTCATAACATTATGAAAGTAACCAAAGTAAACCAATCTTGCCGTCTCTACATCAGTTAAGTCTTATTTTTTTAATAGCAAAAGCCGCGAAGCTTGATAATGCATCAATATGAGGATGTTATTACAGATGCGAGTCTAAAGTAATACCTAGAAACTTAGCCCCCCCCCCCTAACTCTACAGGCTGGTTGTTAATTTTTATACTAGTATTAACCTGTCTCACATTAGGCAGAGTAAACTTAGCACATTTTATTTTACTAGAGCTAAGATTTAAAATATTTAGCGCAAACAAATGAAGGGCTTCAGAGAGAGTATCTTCGATCACAATTTACTTCGTCATAACAATCATTTCCTCTTTTAGCTTTAAATACTAAAGAGGTGTTATCAGCAAATAGTGCTACTGTCTCACACAAATCTCTGGTAAAGTTAGGAAGGGCATTTATATAAATAAGGAAAAGCAATGCGCCTAATATTGAACCTTGGGGTGCGCCCATAGAAATGGTTGCTCCTGAAGACTCAGCTTTATTTATAACCACTTTCTGAATCCTAGCAGAAAGATAAGACTGTATAACCTAGTGAAGTGTTTGATACATCATAATGCTTTATTTTAATTAACAATGTTTCATGGCTAACGCAGTCAAACACCTTTGATTAGTCGCAAAAAATGCCAATAGCGTCGTGTTTACTCTCCCATATATCAAAAATGTGTTTGAGAAGTGCAGTTCCAGCGTCAGTAGTATTGAAAAATTGCCTCTAGAGAAACCAAACTGTTTTAAATGAAATAGCTTATTTATAGAAAACTGTGCTAGTAATTGGTGTGTAAACCATTTTTTCAAATACTTTACTTAGCGCTGGAAAATAGCGCCACCAACCCTGATGTGACGACCACGACCACTCTGTATAAAGTGTAGCGCCAAGGAATACATAAATTTACAATTTTAATTTAAAAAAGACAGCATGAGTGTGTAATACGACATACGAAACTGCCGAGCATAGGTATTCAAAGTGAAATACATACATTAGATTACCTTCTGTTATGTCTATTTTACGTTTCACGTTGATGACGTCGCTACGTGGAGATGTGGACATGCCCATACCTAGGTACAAATTTCGCAACCCGCAACTGACGACAGTAAAAATTCTTTCAATTACCAATTTTGGAGGTTGCAAGTGGAATTGGTGTTGTAGTTGTTGTAATAGAAGATGACCGATGGCCAGTCCTTGCGACAGTCATCGACTTCTACGCCAATACTTTCCTGTAGAACACGTATTACTCTATTATTGTCAATCAAGGATAACAGGGTGGTAGTTGCTATCAGAATCAATTCACACACACATAGTCGTACATCAGAAACAATAGTTCAAAATTAAGCCTTTCCCCCCAAGGGCGTAGCCAGGATTTAATTCAAAGTGGGGGGTGGGCAGGTCAGTAAAACTACTACGTTCGCTACAATAATGAATATTGATTTGAGGTTATTAAAAGAGCAATTCAAAGCAAAGCTTCTCGTTCGTTCGTCGTTCGTCGAACCGTTTCAAGCCTTCACCTGAAATTGCATGTAAATTTTCTTGAACTCGATCGATTTCGATGTACACTTAACATGCACGGCCTGTGCATGTTAACTTGCATTTAAGCGGTTATCGTCGACCTCAACCACGTTTTGAATGGCTGCAGTGTAGAGAAGGACCTCTCTATATTGCTCGTGGTGCAATGTAGTGCCAAAAATTATTATGGCTTTTTTGGTTGCAGGAAAGAATTTTTCCGCCTTCTCTAACAATTCGGCAAAGTTCAGCTCTCTAAGATGTTCTCTTGGCATACCCATATCTTTCCATAGTTTATGCCACAGTTCGGCTTTATTATCGAAGGATTCTAACCCGTAGTGTACTACGCCTGTAGGCGAAAAACATGAAATTTGGTACTAAGGAGTCGAGCGTCACCGCGCGTCGAATAAATGGGAACATCATAATAGTAGGAAAATATAAAGTAATTTACTACAGGCGAAACGAGTCGCATCGACTCTGCGGCAGTGTGAGTTGAGCCTAAGTAAATATTATTAAATTGGTGTTAGAAGTGGTATTGTTACATATGCTGGCGAACAAAACGATATAATTACGCATCTGGTCAAACTTCTTTTTTTACTTTTTCTGAATTATATCTCAAATAATTTTCAATCTAAACCGCCTTAAACAGTGTTAAAATAACTAAATTTATAAATAAAAAACCATGCCATAAGCTCACTGGAGGTATGTCATTCAATTTTATACAGCTCCTGTAAAATTTAGTTTTATGTAATTATACCGATTTTTTCGCCAGCTCCTCATATGATACAAAGAAATTAATAGAACATAATTTAATATCTATTGTCACATACTTGCCAAAATGGTCCATAATTCGAGAACTTAAACCAAGTAGCAGTTAACGCTACCATTACGATGGTCACTGGGGCTATTCTGAAACATAAAATTATTATTACAGAAAAAACATTCTAGTTTGCGTCTTCAATTTTATAGCGGTTTTGATAACGAAGTTAGCAGTAAATCACACGAAACGCAACGCATAATCTTAATACCTGTGAGCGACGCCGTGCGCACATTTTAATAAAGCGACTCAAAACATAACTTTAATTACTATAAGAACACATTTTATTGTTCGGATTCAGAATACGTTGCTCCACGCGTATTCTGAATTAAAATAATGAAATGTGTCATCTTTTCGTCGCGTCGCGTTTCGGTGTGAGCCAACGCTTAAACTCCGCGCGTATTAAGATCTAAAGCTGGGTCCACAAGGCAGCGACTTTGGCCGATAGCGACTCTCTGGCGATGTCAAAAGTAGTGTGTGGACGTATAATGTCGCTGCCAATGCAGCGATCGAGTCGCTGTAATTCTGAGAAGACTTTGAAATAGCGGACCTACTATTATTCTATGTCTATTGTGACTGAATTTAAACAATCACATTGGGATTTGGGACCTTCCTTATGGATGGTTAATATTAATAATTTCCACAGCAGATTTTTGAATCTCAAGTTGATTTCATTGTGCTTCTTTTTTGTGTGGTCTTTCCATGTCATCCTTCTGTCCAGGTAAAATGGAAGATATTTTATGCAGGTTGATTGCGGAAATATGTCAGAGCCCAGATGGATGGATGGACAAGTTTCACGTCTCAGGGTAAATGTGATGTGGTGGAACTTCGGGGCGCTTGATTTTATGCGCCACTTAGTTAGCTAAGCATAAGTGACATCAAGCTGAGTTTGCAACAGTGTGGTTGCTTCATTAGGATCAGTGTTACAGCTGAAGAAGGTCGCGTCATCGGCGAAGGTTGCTACAACTTTTTCTGGTGACTGGGCTAATAAATACGTTGTAGAGAACCAGACCAAGTATAGAGCCCTGGGGTACTCCAGCTTTGCAGCTAAAAGTGAAGATCTTACGTCTTGAAGCGTGACCTGAAACATTCTGTCACTAAGATAAGATTCCATCAGCTGGTCACTACCAGTGGGAGTATGTAAGAAACTTAATTTTGCAGAGTAGTCCTTTATGCCAGACCCGGTCAAAGGCCTGCTGCACGTCGAGGAAAACTGCCGAACAGTATTCTATCTTCTCCAGGCTTTAACTTATTGGGCAATACATTCTGTGTACCTGCTCTATGGCGAAATTGATGGTCGGGTATTACATGGTCCATATTTAGGCAAGGGGATAATCGTGCAAGGATGATCCTTTCCCATAACATTGAAAATACAGGCGTCAGGCTTAAAGGGCGATAATATGAGACTTCGTTAGCCGGCTTACCAGGCTTGTGGATCATAACAATTTGTGATGTTTTCCAGAGTGCAGGAACATACGAGATTCTCAGTGTGGTATTGATGTGATGGTCAAAAAACCAATGTACTTCTTAGGGAGCTCTTTGAGCAGCCGGGGTGTGAATAAATCAAATCCAGGTGCTTTATTAAGGCCCATTTTGGCTATTTCTGTAGCCATTTCCCTAGGTAAAATAGGTTTTAAAGGCAGGCATAGTTCCAGGTATTGTTTTAGGACTTGTTCCATTTCTGGATCTTCTGGACTATCCGTATTATTGGGTTTAAATACCTCGGCTAGGTATACAGCAAAGGCCTGAGATTTTTTTTGGTCAGTTCTCAACCAAGGATCTAATAGGTGGAGAACACTGTTGCGTTTCCAGAGATTAGCATTGATATTACATATATGTATGTACAACAACATTGTTAGTTAGTTAAACTAAGTGAATTTGAAAGTCTACCTTATGGTTTTGCAATTATTGTAAAGAAATAAGCTTATAGTTAGCACCCACCAATCCGCACTGGGCCCGCGTGGTGGGTCTTGGCCCAATCTCATATTCCATCCATAGGGAAGGCCTGTGCCCCAGCAGTGGGGATATTAATAGGCAGATGATGATGATGAAGCGTATGGTGGGTCAGGAATCCAATTTACTGATAGTACCTTGTTATTTGCGATTCCCCGATAATAAATTTTATATACCTAAATAGTTATTTTTATCCCTGAATAGTAGAAAAACCCACCTAAGCCATCTCAATAAGATCCCTTTGGGTATTATCTTCCAGGTGAGCTTTCCGCTGAAGAATTGAAGGTTGTACGTGAGGAAGAAACCAGACAACAAGAAGAACGTCTGTGTGATCATGTGGCCTTGGAATAATGACTGCATCGCGACGTTGTCGAACGCCTGAAAAAGAACAAGAATGAAAATTTTAAGCTATAGATGCCGTCGATCGACGACCTTGCAATGTACGTAAGTAGGCATGTCCAATTTAGTATGTATGTAAGTTCGGGTCAAACCATTAAGTTATATATCTGTCGTGGGTTGATGAACAGAAGTCAAGTAGGAACCGACTTGGGTTTGACACCTGTCGCTCTGAGTGACCCGTTAGTTTTGGGGACATTAGTGACGTCGAGCTGTTCGGTCGTGATCAAACCCCTTAATAACTTCACCACGTTCCGATTTAATCCATTTGCATTGGAGCAATCATAGGTCATTTAAAGCTGATTATTTGTTCGACTATCTTTATTAAACCTAGACAGTGCAAACGAAGTATTATTTAGAGGATTTGTAATGGGCGACAACCCGTCATTAAACGAATGCCCACGTGCCCCTTCCACATATCTATGGGTCAATTTGTAGAAGGGGCACAATACTTGCAACTGAGGCCCAAGCACGAATTTTGACAGCTCCGTAATCGTATCGCATCGTCAAAGTTTCCATGAAAACTAAGCAGCGCCCCCTACCGCGCGTGAGAATAAACTGTCTCCTTCCATACAAAATTTGACGACTACGGACCTGTCAAAATTTGTGTTTGGGACTCTGAATTCAAAGTTGGAGAATTAGTTATTTTTTATGGTCACTTCTGTGATATAGGCATTAACAGTAAGGGTTTGTTGAGAAGAATATAGTTACCATTTAAACAAAAGCTTGTTTTAAAAATGATTTTAAAATATAACCTTATTTTGTTATTGCTATAAACTCACGTCTTCTAGCCATTGAGGATTTTCTATAGTTATGACCGGAGGTATGGGAGCATGACCCAAAAGCACTAGTACAGCTGTGAGGAACCTGTAACAATAAAAATAAATTTAAAAGTAAGCTTGAAATCGACGGAAAAATCGAGAAACAAATATTAAAATAAATGCATTTGCATTGGGAATTGAAGACAGATTTTACAACAAATAAAGAAGAGTAGTAAACATAAACGTGCTACTCCGGAGCATCACAAAATCTAAATTGTGACAAAGAAGGCTTCATCAAGGTGGAAAGGAAGAAGAGAAAGTCCGTTCGCCGCAACCTGTGTGGTGCTGCCCTGAACGGAGCTAACCATCTGTTGCCACCCGCCATACCAACAACTCCTGTACGTGTCCCGGCTGCATCACTCTACGAAGGAAGAGGAGAGCGTAGAATATCTACAGATCAAGAGGAAGTTCTCCCTGTCCCTGTCGCACGGTTGGAATCTCGCCATAATGTGAATTTTAATGCATTCGCGTTGAGAGTACCAACCGAACACCTAGCGAACTGTATGAAAGAAGTGTTTTGGTCGATAGGTGTTGTGTTTCGGCGGTTTGAGGCCCGATACCGGTCACCACTCCACGTCACACGTCGCCGTCAATACGTGTATATTAAGTTTTTACTTACTCGTACATAAGTATTAACTTCATTTACTAATATGTTAGATTTTAAGGTATGTATCTATGGGCCTACGTTGTCTGACTATTATATTTCGGGCATATGTACAGTAAGATTCAGATCAAGTTATCCAAACTTAAAAGTTTCTCCAACTGACTTGGAAGTTTATTTTAGTTTTTAAAGCATATCGACTGTGGAAAGGCAAAATTGCTTATACACCACTTTGGTCTAAAATGAGATATATATGTATATTTATATCACTTTAATCAGATTTTTTTTCTGCGTCGATCTGTTTATGTTTTTTAATCATTAGAGTATTTTTTCGCGCTTAAGCAACTAATTTTTTTGAAGACTTATTGTTCGCAACGCTGAAGCGACATAAATTTTGGTGATTTTTGAACCAATAGCCCTTCCTCCCCACTTAAATTTGTCGTATGATTTCATGTTTGCTTGGCAAAAAATGTAAAGCGGGCGGAATATTTTTTCCTACCTCAAATAACTACCTATATAATTTAAATAACTATAACTATAGTAAATTAAATTACTGTCTCTTAGGTACACTTTTATTTTCAAAGGATTTTGAGATCGAGAGAGACGATATCTACGTTTGTACCACATGTGTAAAAAAATATATAACTTTATTTTAAAGGTAGGCACCTACCTACAACAATTAACAACAGTAAACAAAATAACCGTCCCGTAGGTATACTGTTTTTATTTTGCGCGGTTGCCGCGACCACACCCGCACTCCCGGTATGCATTGGGAGGACTGTGGTCCTCAGAATGTATGCCGGGTGACCGGTGGAGGAGTATTGTTTTTATTGGCCCTGTTGTTAGGTAGGGCCCCGCTCATTTCACCCGGCCCAAGGGCTGGCTGTAATGAGCTGGGAGGAGTCCCACATATGTACCTTCTTCTCGCTCCTCCGGTGGTTGAAGGATGCGTAAGGCATGCTTTAAAAAATTAAAAATGTTTAATACTTGTAAAAGTATTCATTTGACATTGTGGGTTACCTATAATGCGAAGAGATGGCGCTGCCTTGCAGCTTAAGAATGGCTAGAGGAATTTCGACGCGGTCCGTGAGGGCCGCGGTAGCATAATGTTTGTATTCTATCCGTTACCCTAGTATCCCATAACACAAGCCTTACAGTGCTTACTTTGGGGCTAGGTTAATTGGTGTGAGTGTTGGAAATATTTATTTATTTAATTATTAATTTTACCTTATTCCGTTGATGCCGATCAGTTTGGATCTCCTCGGGTCCTTGCTTGGTGGCGCCACCAACCTTCTCCAATTGGCACGCAGAGAGAAGATAAGAGGCCACCCTGAACAATAAATAGACAACTTTATTACTATGACGTATTAACATGTGGGTTGCTTATACTTATTCAGGTTCCGTATCATCATCATCAGCCTATTAATGTCCCCACTGCTGGGGCACAAGCCATCACTATGGATGGAATAGGGGAGATTGGGCCATGACCCACCACGCGGGCCCAGTGCGGATTGGCGGGTGCTAACGACTGCAGATGCAACCGGGACCAATGGCTTGCTTGCACGACGTGCCTTCCGAAGCACAGAGTAACTCGAGATAGAAGATTTTTGATCACCCATCCAACTTCAACGAGTGCAGCCGAACGCGCTAACCACCAGCGCCATCGAGCTCTTCCCATTAGTTGTTCATCAACTTAAAAAAATCCATATCAAAACTTTAATTGTTATTAATGATTGAGTCGTCAGTTCAGCGTAACCAGTGATAAGAGAACAAAAACGCGACAAGTAAGAGTTCAACTCGCGTGGAAAGGGTTCCGTACGCATAAATTATATATTTTTTGAGTTCAGGTACCTATCTAGATAGATAGATAGACAAATGTATTTGTTTCTTAGGTTTTCACGCACATCACTCTTTAAATAAAACTAGTTTTTACGGGTTAATGCACGAAACTTTATTTATTTATTGACGTTTCGCAGCCTTTTCAGATCTTTCTGACGATGCAGACCTGAAAAGGCTGCGAAACGTCAATAAATAAATAAAGTTTCGTGCATTAACCCGTAAAAACTAGTTTTATTTATCTACAAATGTACAGAATAAAGGTGTTTTTTTTTAATCTGTGTCAGATTGGCCATGCCATTTGATACTTCATTTAAGTAATAAAGCACGGAGGAACTCGAGATAGGGTCACCCATCCAATGACCGACTACTGCGAAAGTTGCTTAACTTTAACGAACTCAGGTTCCGTATAAGGTACGGAAAAGGAAAAAAACGAAACCCTTATAAGATCACTTTGTTGTCTGTCTGCTTGTCTGTCAAGCCCCTATATCTCGGGAACGCGGGGAGGTATACGGTCGGTAAGGTAAGTCTACGCGGCCCCTTAAGAGCGGACTCGAGCTGAGAGACATTTGACAAAAAAAGGTAAATTTAAAAATCAAAATACCCGCGTGTCTTCAAATAAAAACTGAAAAGAAATAACTAGTCCAGTAGTCTATAATTCTGTTATGTAAAGAACAAAGATACTTTAACAGTCACGACCTATTATTGAACAAAAACAAATGGGTCCCGACTGTTAAAGTATCTTTTTTCTTCTAGTTTTTATTTAAAGTAATATTTAAGCAGTCGGCTTTTTTGATTTTATAAATGTACATTTTTTATTTCATACTTTTTAGTTAGGATTATAAGACGGTATATACCGCAGTCTTGTCCCTTCAGTCAGGGAGTTAATATCGCGAGAATTATTAAGTACCTTGGAGTGGTCTAAATGATTGATTTATTAAGACATATAGAGACCTTACTACCAGAGTCAAGGCTATGGACCTCAATTTTCACAAAAATGTTTGAAGTTAAATCAAGTCGTTACCTATGTATCTACTGCATTTACAATTTGTTTTACCTACATTATTCACAGAGACCAAATATTTAGATGCCAGAGGTTAACTTCAAACGTTGTAGATCACTCTATATACAAAATCAATCAATGACGTTATTGTCGCAGGTTGACGTAAGCTACAATTCCCGTCTGTTGTTTTTGACACTGGTGGCTAACTTTAGACTTTAGATCGCTAAATTAAATAATTATACAATCACCAAAGCAAAGTTTATAATATTTCATAAAACTAAACATAGACTTACATTAAAAAAACGGTTAAAACGGGAACTTTCCTGTTCGATAAAGGGCTATCACATGTAAGTCCCTTTATCGTGCCGGGACTCCTTTTTAAGTTTTATCGGCACGCACATTTTATCAACTTAGTTTTATTAATGATTATATCCGAGTGACATAGACTATATTTTATCCCGGTAAGATAATTTCGCCTTTATAACATTATAAATGCGAAAGTGAGTTTGTTTGTTACGCTTTCGCGCCCTAATAGCTAAATTGATTATGATGACTTTACCTATAGAAATAGATGGGACCTTGGTATTATCGAAATACCTTTAAAACTTTATATTATTTATTTGCTTAAAATTTTCCAGAATTATAGTTTATAAATTACACAATCAACATTATCGCGAGCTAATTAATACAGACATCCAAGTCCATTAAGTATGTACGTAGTACCTACTAGCGAATGAGAGGTTATTTCTCATTATGTTAGGTAAGATGAAGTAATATCGTATATTATAAATCTTAGAACAATGTAACTCAGACTTTTTCATAAAATTTTAATAATATGATAATTTATTTTTATCATTTAATAAGAAGGAACTTTATCACAGTTTTATTGTAAGTAGGTTCGTACAGGATTAGATACTACGAGTAGCCTTTTTTTTATTTTCCTCCTAGGTTTTATCTGCGTTTTTAAACACCAAAGTTCATCAAATTTCTCCCACCATTCCCGCAGTCTACTCCTACATAGTAAACCGCGCTATCACTTCGTCATCGTTGTACCTTTTTGAATATTTGTCGAAATGACATAGTGCACACGGCAAATTTTATCGTCTTTAAATATCGTAAACGACAAAAGTACCTATTTGTTTCGATAAAAAATATTTTTTTAATACAAAATGTGCATTTTGGAAATGGATATCAAATAATATTTTATTTTTGATTCGCTATTTTAGCGATAATGGCTTACACATTAAAAATAGATATATGCTGCTGCGTACTTTTTTGTGAAATTATTTAAGAAATACATTTCCATAACATTCATGTAACTTTTATTGTTTTTGCAGTGCAGGTCAAAGTGGCTCGCAGATGGGAGATTTTTTCCGTCTTACGTGATAGTTATTGTTATATTTTGGCCAATTTACTCAATAGCTGCAAAAATTTCTGGACGTAGCGTGATGTCATAAAGTCTGTGTCGATAATTGCACTATCCAATACAAAAATATTTTTTTAATTTGAAACTGTAGTGCAATGGTGCATCCGGTACAATGGATCCTAAACTACGCAACAAATTTTTACTTGAAATGGAAGGTTTATAATTGGTATATGAAAAAAGCCATCGTGTATAATACAAGTCTGTGAACAAAAACTATATTCTGCACTACAGCTCTACACCAAAGCGAAGCGAGGGCAAGCCACTAGTTTAAAATAAAATACATCCAGCAGAGTTAAATAAAATTATTTCTTTTCCTATGTTTTTCTTGACTTAGGTTTTTTCCTATAATATAAATAATATGAAATAAAAAGAAATATTTATTTATAAAAAAATATTGGTAATTAAGTGCAAAATTAATTGGAAAGTTAAGGTTGATAAAACCCAAGCCTGCATTAATAAACAAATTAGGTATCTACTAAACGATTAATACTTAACTATTCAGGTATTATAAAGTACTGGGCAAATTTAAATATTCTATACTTAAATTGTTGCGAAAAATACTATTATATAAAAGGAAAACGTCAATTGCTGATCTATCAACGCACAGCTCAAACCAGTTAACGCATTGCGCTGTAATTTGGCGCACATAATATGGCTATTATGATGTAGGCGTGCGCTGAGAAAGGATTTTCCAAAAGCCCCTCCTCAAAGGGGTAAAACGGGGTGTGGTGGCGACATCTACATGTCTTCTCAAGTCTCTAATCACTTGCCTCCTCAAGAGATGGCGCTACCGGCGCGGCGCTGCGCTTACAACGTATGGAAGCTACATCGCGCCAGTGAAATGCGGAGGCTAACACTTCCATTTATACAATTCCCGACCATCATCATTAGGGCCGTGGTCAACGAGCTACCATCGCCCAGCTCGGATGAAGATTTTCACCTTGGCCTTCCTACACGAGATTTCAAAATCTGTATGAGAAACTAATGTTTCCACGAAGACGAGTTCGCGGGTAAATAATGATTCATTTTATTTGTATATTGTATGGATGTCAATTCATTGTGTAAAAATACCTTACTACTGGGAATTCCCAAATTTTTTTTCGCAGAACCGTAAATATTATAATATTATTATTCTTTTGTGTGCCTACCTAATTAGTTTTAAATTTGTTCAGTCACTTCTGAGTAATTTTTGAACAAATAATAATATTTCCTCTTTAATATTAGTCGTATAAATCTGTCCGTGAATTTGCTAATTACTCGTACGTCATGACAACTTGTTTTGGAAAAAGTTCGTCATGCTAGGTAGGTGCTTAAAATTTTTAAGAAATATTTTTCGTAATGTTAAAAATCTTATCGCGAGAAAAGAAAATTCCTGCTAGGACTCTGTCGCGTATTATAAAACAAGACCTGAAGCTCGGTGCTTATTGTCGATATATAGGACATGCCCTAAATCAATCTTTAAAATTAAAGAGAGTGGATCGATCAAAGCGCTTTCTGTCGCGATACGCAGGTGAAAAGCACAGAAATATCCTCTTTACAGATAAAATCATTTTCACGATTGAAGAACACTACAATAAGCAAAATGATAAAGTGTACGCTCACAGTTCTAAAGAAGCTGCTCGAGTTATCGGAAAGATATAATGTGGTCATCATCCTTCGTCAGTGATGGTTTGGTGGGGCGGTCTTATCAAGGAGTCACAAAACTACATTTTTGTGAAAAAAGAGTGAAAACTTCAGCCAAAGTGTATCAAGATACAGTCTTGGATCATGTTGTGAAATCTCTCAGCAATACACTACGCGTACGCTGCAGAAGTCAATGGCAATAGAGCAAAGTTATGTAATAATGTTTTGTAGAAGACATCAATATCTACAAAAAAGTCCGCGATACCATACTTACATCTATTACAGTTATGTCGCAACTAGAGGTCCCCTTGCGGTTTCACCCGCATTAATTTGAGGAAAATGGCTAAAGTTAGTCAAACTTAAAAGATGGACATAATGCTGTCGCGGACTTTTTTATAGAACTTCCCTTATTTTAGCGGATCATTTTTGTACCGCGAGTGCCTCTTCTCTTGTGTTAATCTAAGAGTTGACACTTTTTTTTTAAACTTGCACGTATTCTTTTGGCTTAATATCAAATGATTTAACACACAGGCATAGATCGAAACCCATAATAATTTATTCAAAATCGAAAAAAATCACGACTTTGAATGTACCATTTAGGTACGTTAAAAAAATGCCGGACAAGCGTGAGGGTACGGCCAGAGTGCACTCAGATTCAGATTCAGATTCCGAAAACAAGCGCGAGAAATAAACAGTGTAGTCTCAAGCAGGTTGCCTGCTTTTTCTCGCGCTTGTTTTCGGAATCTGAATCTGAATCTGAGTGCACTCTGGCCGTACCCTGAGTCGAACTTGCCCACCGATGGTTCCTTACTAATTTGTAGGTACACAACATAAACGGCCGTACCTAACTTTTTGAAGCGAAACTTATTTTCGGACGGGGTGTAAATTGGAAAAATCGTTTGGAAAGATGAAACAGAAACGCGTCATGATATTTAAATTTAACATGTTTTAGCATTGGCACGTTATACGTGATATCTATATATATAAAACTCAAAGGTGACTGACTGACATAGTGATCTATCAACGCATAGCCCAAACTATTGGACGGATCGGGCTGAAATTTGGCATGCAGGTAGATGTTATGACGTAGGCATCCGCTAAGAAAGAATTTTGATCAATTCTACCCCCAAGGGGATAAAATAGGGAATGAAAGTTTGTATGAAACTTTGTCAATTTTAAACCGATCGGGCTGAGACTTTGCATACAGGTATAAAAAGAATCATAGATGAATGTCATTGTGTATAATACAAGCCTGAGAACAAAAACTGTAGTCTACACCGAAGATAAGCGAGGGCGCGCCGCTAGTAACGTTTGTATGAAACTTTGTCAATTTTAAACCGATCGGGCTGAGACTTTGCATGCAGGTATAAGAAGAATCATAGATGAATATCATTGTGTATAATACAAGCCTGAGAACAAACACTGTAGTCTACACAGAAGCTAAGCGAGGGCGCGCCGCTAGTAACGTATAAAACTTAATGGCACTCCTTTAAAGCAAGTACAGAGCTGCAGGTACCTGGGACTTTGGGTCACCGAGTCGCTCAAGGATGTCCTTAATATTGAGAGGGAGCGTAGGGTACTGTGCATCAGGGCTAATATGCTGTCCCGCAGGTTTGTACGTATTATCTTCGTATTATCTGTGTTGCCATTAGTTTCACTGATTAAACGACATTTTGATGCAATTTCATAATAATTGGTGCAATTTCATAATAAATTCCATTTATATTTTTCTGAAGAAATCGGCGATTTTTATATTAAGATGAATGCATCTTAATATAAAAATCGGCGATTTATTCAGAATAAATGTAGCATCATAAAACTTGAGGTACAATATCGGACAGTGTGTGCATGGAGAAAAGAATGAATCCTTTCTTTAGAGAAACAAATCTAGCCACTTTACCTAATCGCATCGATAGCCTCATTCAGTATTTCTTGACGTCACACTAAATACGGTTACTACGTCTTTCGACAATGTTTACGTAATAGTGCTGATATTGCAGAATGTGGCGGTGTTGACTGCTAGTTTATTTATCACACGCAAACAATGTTTCGACAACAGTTTTCTATTTATATTATCACTGCTGAGGCACAGGAGAGTATATACAAATCTTCTCTCCCGGACTACTTACAATTTGTCCCCCCCCCAACCCTTTGAATAATTATATCAAATGAAAATATAGCAGTAACGATTGATTTTTTGATTGAATTGATAAAAGGAGCACGGGCTATGACTTATCATACAAGCGCTGTGTTGATTTGGGAGTGCTGACAGCAGCAGTTGTAGACGAGACCAACGGTTTAACGCACCTTCTGAAGCTAGTAGTAGGAAAGCCTAAACGGGGATTTTGGTTTTTTTTATTTGAGAAGGTTCACGTAACATCCCTTCTCGATGTCTGACGCGCTCAAACATTTATTTTCCTATTTCCACCCACCAATTACACCATGCAAATCGGCAGATTAATATTTTTCTTGTCGTCAGAAACGTAACGTGAACCCTATAGTACCTCCTATTTAAAAGAATGAAGATTTCAAAGCGACCGAAAGTCATGGCCGACTCTTGAATTTTGACGTGACAACGTCTTAAATTAGGTTGCGGCTGGGAGTCACTTATGAAAAAGTGTAACGCTCGGTAACGTTACGATGAGTCTCTCGTGTTAAGTTTAAGTTTACATGTACAATGTTTTAGTAAACAAAATATATTTCTATAGTTAAAATTTGTGCAATTCTTATTTTCATTCAATTCCTTGTTCCTATTGTGCAATTTAATTATATTCATATCAATAAATATTCTACCGAGAAAAAGACGTTGTCACGTAAAATCTTCGCCCGTAAAACCGACTTTACAGGCAACCATTTTTTTTTTTGCTGCCCTAGACGTTTGGCCCTATTTAAAGGGCTCAGGTATAGTGTGGTATTTAACAAGGTACAAGGTTGCCCCCCTTATGTTATTCTGCCATGTTCAAATAAAACCCAAAACCTTCACTTGGAACCCTACTATAGGAAGAGCTCAAGATAACAAACTTTTGGTGACCCATCCTATGACAAGCCACTGCGAAGTTTGCTTGTCTCCCACATTCACTGTGTTATTTAGCTCGCTGACAGAGTTGACCAGCGACTAAAGCCTTTAAATAAAGTTAAAAATAAGTCGATACCTCTTCTACGCGTTCCCGTGAAAAATGACAGTGGATGGACGGACGGACGGACACCAAAGTAATCCTATAAGGGTTCAGTTTTATTCTTTTGTAGTACGGAATCCTAAAAAGTTAAGCAATTTGCTAATGCTGCATATTTGCCATAATCACATTAAATGGCACTCTTCCAACAGAAATTTATGTTTAAAAAAAAGAAAAAAAAAATACTTACAAATATCATATTAACATTATAGTAATATAAGTTATTTACGGGATTGTTACCATGTACCTACCTTGTTTTTAGCGAGTTTCCGATATTTCGGCACTGTTGCAAGCGCCATGATCACGGAGTAACTATTACCATATAATATATAACTATAGGAGTTATAACTTATATTACTATAATGATAGTGACCATGAAAGTTTAAAACAATATATCATATTAACATACCTGCCTACCTAGTTAGCACGCTGAAATGGCAATGGGCAGGCCACATCGCTCGAGGATCTGACAACCGTTGGGTAAGAAAGGTCCTCGAGTGGCGACCACGTACCGGACGACGCAGCGTGGGGCGGCCCCCAACAAGGTGGACTGACGACATCGTCAAATGTGCTGGGAGCCGCTGGATGCGGATAGCGCAGGACCGCGCATTGTGGCGTTCTATGGGGGAGGCCTATGTCCAGCAGTGGACGGAGAAAGGCTGATGGATGGATGGATGGATGAACATACCTGCTACTTCGCTATCATTGTAGGCGAAATCGTAGATTGTAGACAGCAAATTCAGGGCCACTATTCCAGCTAGTACGTAAAACACCAGGTTATCTATGTAATCTAGTTGGTGACGCCTCTCTTTGTATCTGTAGCAGTTGACTTTCTCTACTCGTACGCCGAGGTCGTATTTCCTTCTTAAGGTGTCATTGATGCAGGCTTCAGTTGCCCTCATGAGTTCAGGAGTTGAGTTCCCCTTGACATGATGCCGGCAATCTATATCTGACAGGCACATGCCGTACAATAATCTCGAGTAGTTGTAATGCCTGGCTGCAGCGTTAGAGTAGTTCTGGAAATAAAAAAAAAATACTTAATGTTGATTTAAGTTATTAGGTATTTAGTACTACTTTAGACTGACTTAGTACTCTATATTGTCTATATTCAAGTTACTCTGTAGCAAGTAGCTTTTGACGCGAGGACGAGGAGCTCTATGGCGCAGGTGGTCGAAGGCCTGTGCCCCAGTAGCGGAGACCTTAATAGGCTAAAGATGATAAAGTAGCTTTTGGTATCAATCCCTTTTTTCGAAAATCTTAGGGATTTTGCGAAAACACGGATAATTAGACAATGGTGATAACATTTCTCAATCTGAATCGTTTGGCTTATTATAAATATTGTTGTGTTTTTGGGTTCTTTGCTTCACACCAGGTAAGGTTAGTGTTCTGATCATGACGCACGGGCCGAGCGAGCGTAGCAAGCGTGCCGCGGTAGCGGTCAGCGAAGTGCCACAAAAAAATTCGATATATCATATCATTATACGACATCTATAGCATTCCCCAAACTCTTATACATATTTATTACGTAACAAATTTAATGTTTTTTGACTGCATAATTATTTGTATTATTAACAAAATCGTTTCCAGATCTTTTGAGAATCATTTGGACTACGAATATTAGAGAAGATTACCATCTAAGTAAGTGTTTACCGCTAATGTTGCCATTATCTCTGTCGTCATTACACAACATTAGATGTGTCAAAATTTGTAAACCGGCTTTGGTAGCGGGTTTCGTGTGGCATTGGCCCCACTATTTCACGGTCATATCATGATTTATGACTATAAGATCTAAGTTCACTAAAAGAATTAGGAAAGATAGGTCCAAATTTGGATATTTTGATTGACACTTTAAGGTTCAGAACATCCAATATTAAAATTTATTTAATAAACCATTTTATCGATGGGAAAGAGTAGAAATAAAATGCGAAAAAGGGGCTCGATGGCATAATTAGTTAGCGCGTTCAGCTGCGATCGTTGAAGTTAAGCAACTTCCGCAGTGGTCGGTCACTAGATGGGTGAACAAAAATTTAGTATCTCGACCTTCTCCACGATGGCACGTTAAGCCGTAGGTGCCGGCTGCATCTGCAGCCGTTAGCACCCACCAATCCGCACTGGGCCCGCGCGGTGGGTTATGGAACAAACTCTCTATTACATCCATAGTCGATGGGATTTTGCCCCGGCAGTGGGGACATTATTAGGCTAATAACGAAACCACTTTTTAGGAGTTACAAAGTGCGTAAATGCTTTTATTACAATAGTGTTTTTTAGACTTATATGGTGCCAATATTTATTGAGTAAAAAACTGCCTTCCGAATACACGCAGGTCGATTGTTATAGTGCGTGTCGGGTGACAGTGCAGGAGTATTGTCTGGTTTTTAGTGGCCCTGTTCACATCAGCGAGCTCTAGGGCTGGCTGAAGGCGACAGGGAGGAGTCCCACCTTCTTCTCGCTCCCCCAGTGGTTGAAGGTTGCGTAAGGCATTTTCCAGACACAAAAAAAAAGGTTCATGCAAAAAAATAAAATAAAATTTACTCATTTACTAATTTATTATCTATACTTTTTTTCTTAAGTACAGAATTGTCTGTGTTGTAGCGTCCGGTTTCATTTGTTGCCTAGGTGTAATGAGTAATATAAATATATTGTATATATTTATGTATTTAGTAATATAGTATTTTTGACCTCAAACTTGTATTCGCAACCAAACTTAACAAAAAAATAACTTATGGCCCACAGAAAGTGTCTGGCGACCATATGTTTATTCATTTATTTTTGAGAAACCAAAAGCGATACAAATAGATATTACATAATTGAACTTAGTAATAAGAATGGCCAATAACAGGTTTCTACGAATTAAATTTGGTACAAAAACTGTCGTTGTGCAGGCTAATCTAAGGTTACATGTAGGTATGCATATAATAATGCCAGGTCGCGTAAGAACGTTGCAAGGCGGCTATTAGCGATGATACTTTGATATGTTTCTATACCACTAAAAAGTCTGTTATATAAGACAGGTAACCGAGTCAGAATTGCATTTGTGACATGTGGTGGAGTAGCGAATAACGGGGTGATTCTAGTACGACGCTTTGGGGTACAGAATTTAATGTTAGCTAAAAGTTCAGGGGTATCAATATTGCTTCTTACGATATCAAACAGAAAGATCATATCCGAGATAGTATCCTATGCTCTTCAAGAGTTAATATTCCATTTTTATGGCAATTATTGACATAATCGGATGAGCGACAAGTTCCCATGTAATTGAGGTATCTCATAAAACGGCGTTGTATTCTCTCGTTTCTATTTACGTGCGATTTGTAGAAAGGAGACTATATATTACTACAATATTCTAGCACACTTCTTACATAGGCAAAGTAGAGCAATTTTAAAATAATCACATCCTTAAAAGGTGCACAAGTACGTATAACGAATCCTAAATTACAGTAAGCTTTAGCAACGATGACATCTATGTGTTTATTTATAAAAATGTCATATATAAAATTCTCGTGTCACAATGTTAGTTACCGTAGTCCTCCGAAACGGCTTGACCGATTTTTATGAAATTTTACATGCATATTCAGTAGGTGTGAGAATCGGCTACTATCTATTTTTCGTACCCCTAAGTGATAAGGGTTGTCCACCATTAACATTTATTTTTATTTATTGGCCATTTCTTTTATTCTTTTATAATGTGGCATTAAAAATTACATACAACCCTAAATTTTCACCGTTCTATCACCAACCCCTCTTTTTTAATAGTCATTTATATGGCAAAACAAAGTTTGCTGGGTCAGCTAGTAATATTTAAAACCAGGCTGGTTTTATACTACTTTGACGTAATTTAGGATATTTTTTTTTTGAAACCCGGCGTACAAACCACTCGACCTCCGTGGTCGAGTGGTTTGTACGCCGGGTTTCATGGTGTCGCCGACTCGAGACGTCCCGGGTTCGAATCCCGGTGGGGGCAGATGTTTGTATGATGAATACGAGCATTTGTACTCCAGTCATGGATGTTTAATACATATTTCTATATATACTTATATATGTACAGTATATATATTCTATCCGTTACCCTAGCATCCCATAACACAAGCCTTACAGTGCTTGCTTTGGGGCTAGGCTAATTGGTGTAAGTGTCAGAAATATTTATTTATTTAAAAAAAATATATAATTCAAAAAGTAATGTCAGGGTCACTTAAACATCGGATTTTATCCCCGAATCCGAATTTGATATCTAATCCAATTTTTGAAATTACAGAGGTCCAGAGGTAGGGCTGCCATCTGTCCGGGTTTCCCCGGATTTGTCCTAGTTTACGGGGCGTCCGGGGAGCGTCCGGGCGGGGTTTTATTTGTAGTCCGGGTTTAAAAATTTACGGCAACGCATGAGTGGCCCTAGGTGCTGCAAGTGTCCATGGGCAGCAGTGACCACTTATTATGAGACTCTTGCCTAGATCAACATAAAAAAGTTGATTTGTGACATTTTTAACTGTTTTTTATTGGTCTGTCCGGGTTCTGGGCTTCAAAATCCGGGGTTATCACGCGCCTTATCCTAGTTGCTACATTTTAGAGATGGCAGCCCTATCCAGAGGCTACGAGGAGAAGGTTACCTAAAAAAATCGAAAAAAAAAACTAGTTTTCAATTTTTTTTGCTACATGTTAAGTTATCGTAAACTATCAAACACCCCGGATTCTCACGACAATCACTAATTCATAGTATATTTATGCTGGATTTTAACAACCATTATACGATTATAAGGAAAATTCAACCCTTTGTATATTTTGTTCTAACGTTGCCATTATTTACGTTAAGAATATGACTTTTATACAATTAACCTCTTAACACTGTGGCGAGTAATTTTAGCCGGCATTTTAATGGCTGCACAATTGAGTTAAACGCATTGACGTTTGATAAGGTTTGCTTAAGACCTCTTCCTGGTGAGGTTTCCTTTAACATTAGTATGATCATTGCTAGATACGTCGAATTATGAAGTAATTAAATCAGTGCATCTATACCGTTGAAACTTGTTTTACTTATATATCTAACATTTATTCTTGTGGGGTTGGATTTATTAAGAAAATGAATATGTTAAAGAATCTATATATATATAAAACTCAAAGGTGACTGACTGACATAGTGATCTATCAACGCACAAACCAGTGGACGGATCGGGCTGAAATTTGGCATGCAGGTAGATGTTATGACGTAGGCATCCGCTAAGAAAGGATTTTGATCAATTCTACCCCCAAGGGGATAAAATAGGGAATGAAAGTTTGTATGAAACTTTGTCAATTTTAAACCGATCGGGCTGAGACTTTGCATGCAGGTATAAGAAGAATCATAGATGAATGACATTGTGTATAATACAAGCCTGAGAACAAAAACTGTAGTCTACACTTGCTCTACACCGAAGCGAAGCGAGGGCGGGCCGCTAGTTTTTCTATAAAATGCCATTAAAAATTTCATGTCCCTGAATATGACCATTGTAATCTTGGACGAGGAATCACGCTGCTTTGGTTGTAATTGTAAATATATATGTACCTGTACATATATATAATGATAATAAATCTACAAGCACAGAACATAAAAAAAACAAGCCATACAGGTAGTACTTCCTTGCTGCGGGCGCGGCGGCGGTCTCTGCTGAGTGCTCCAAGCGGCGCAAATATTCAGCTCTCAATGATAACTACATATTTGTGCCGTTTGGTGTTGAGACCATGGGACCGTGGGGTCCGAGCGCCCGTTCCATTTTTAAGGAATTGTCTAAGAGGCTCATCGAGGTTACTGGTGATCAAAAGGCTGGCAGCTACCTTGGTCAACGGTTTAGCCTTGCTATCCAACGCGAAAACGCTGCCAGCCTATTGGGCACCATTCCTGACGTCAGCGCGGGGGGTGATATATTATTTATTTTGTATGTTGTATATTATTGAGTTAGTTAATTCTATTTAAGTTTTTAGACATTAATAAGTTTTAAGCTTTTGTAATCTAAATATTAATATGTAAATATAATAAATATCTCTTATCTATTAGACAAGTCCGTCCGTCCGTCCGTGGTGCTGTTTCAGCGGCCAAACCGTAAGAGATAGATATAGAGAATGTTTAAGTTATAAGTTAAGAATAGTCTGATAAGACTACACACCGGATGTGAGTAACGTAGCACTTCCGGTTTTCGAGAAATCACGTGATTTCTAATACCACATAAAATCTTCGATGTTCTATATTTGATTTTTTTTTTGTGAACATTTGGTTCACTGGTTTGCTAGTATATACATAATAGATAATATTTATACACATAAAAATATATACATACGTATGATAAATACGCAGATAAATTCAACGCAGTGTAAAATAAATAAATAACTAGTTAGTTATTTTGAAGATCGAATTCGTTTTATGTTATGGTGGGACCTTGACTGGTTGGACTAAGGATTGTCATTGTAAGCCTTATAAAGCGCGGCGATCAACGTTTAATCACATCGTACTAAAATCAATTTGTGAAATAAAAGGAATGGAATCCCACCAAAATTATTTTCATACAAAATGTTGCCAAGACGAGACCATATTTATTTATTTATTTATACTTTATTGCACAAATGAGTGTAAAAGTGGCGAAGTTAATGTCATCAGGCATTCTCTACCAGTCAACCGGAGAATTATAGCAAAGATCTTAAGAAAGTAGTGCGAAAAGAATTCATAAAATTATTTATTGTAGTTGAAGTACCTATAGATTGGAGAATTGTGCAGCCAGTTATATATATAGCGCACCTTTCAGGCCCTGCCAGAATACCAGCGCTGTTGTCACACGTGTGGCAACAGCATCATGCTGAGGCAGGGTCCTGATTAACCATTAATTTACTTTTATAGTTTTAAGTTAGTTTTTAATTTTGTTTTTTATGTTAATGTTTATGTGTTTTTTTTATTGTTGTTGTAATACTCGTAACAAATGGTTAATAAAAAATCTCTCTCTCTCTCTCTATATATATCTTGATATGACTATATTTACATATGACTGGCATTGTCAAAAAGTTGTAAGATCTCATGTTGGTTCTATATGCTCCTATATTTTTTAACTCTACATGGCCTTTTTGGTTTACAGAAGATTTTTTTTATTCCTTAATTGACATAACATTGTTTCGAACCACATAAGTCATTAAGACAAGTAAGGGATTTGAACCCGGGCTCGCGTAAGAGGCGAGATTTCTACCACTGAACTACCGGCGCTTAAGATCTTTTTATTGTTTTTTTTAATAACAATTAAAAATTTAATGCAACTTGCTAAAGATGAACTTTAAAACGAGCAAATCTAAACTAGTGTTATATAAATAAACTTTAATGAATTAATGATAGACGCTGCCATCGTTAAACCCATCCATTATTTAATTGGTATGTAAAACAACATCACTTATTGGTAAGTAGTTCCACGTAATGTGTCTCAGGATCAGATCAAGTTAGATTAAATTACAGTTTAATTATGTTATATTATTACAATAGCTGACCCGGCGGACTTAGTGTCACCTAACAGTCAATGAATTTGAGGAAAAAATTTATAATGAGTCAATCTTAATAGATGGACATAATTATACTGTCGCGGTATTTTTTTATAGAACTTTTAAATAGGAACAATTCCGTCGAACATGACTTTTTGTGCAAATTTAACCATTTATGCAGCGCACGCAACGAAAGCGCTCAAATGGAATATTTTTGCGCAACATTTTTTATCGATGTTCCTCTCCTACTCGTGACGTAGCGTTATGTTATATAGCCTATAGCCTTCTTCGATAAATGCAGCATTCAACTCAAACAGCTTTTTTTTAAATCGGACCAGTAGTTCCTGAGATTAGCGCGTTTAACCAAACGAACTTTTCAGCTTTAAGTATCGCCGCACACGGGCCACACGCCACAGCCACAAACGCCGCCACGAGAAGCTAGAAGCGGCCGACTAAGGTAAGGGAGAGAGGGTTGGCGAATCGCGCGATTGACGTATGGCGGCGTTTTGTATCGGCGCATTAAGTCGCTGGCGCGGGCCACAAGAAGCGAGCAACGACGATTTGTAGCGTGTGGCGGCCACCGGCGTACCGGCGAGCCCATATAAAATGTATGAAAACTACAAGAAATATGCCGGTGGCGGCGTTTTGTGGTTGTGGTCGGTGGCCCGTGTGCGGCGACACTTAGACATTCTTCATATATTATGGTAAATGAAGCCGCTTCCTTTACTAACAATGTAAGCTTACTTGTTTATCTAATCTATATCTATAAATCTATATAATTGAATGTTCTAAATGATGTAATGGAAAGTGACTTCATGAATTATCTCTGAAGTCATTTTTCAACTTGACGACTCTGTATATGTAATTGAGGTAAAAACAGCCCTTGCTGAGTTTCTTGCCGGTTCTTCTCAGTACAAGGTCTCCCGCCGTAGATTAGGGAATATATGGCGTAGCCTCTCTACTTTCAAAAGTGTCTAGACTTAAAAAATAATATTTTTTATACATACTAGTGTTTAAGGTTCCGTACTCAAAGGGTGTCAAAAGGAATTCTAATAATTTGCCTCCTCTGTCTGTCTGTCACAGGATTCTTCGTTCTTTTTTATGGAAATAGATACCTACCTACTAAGAAACTTACTTATCTTAAATTTTCACAGGATGAGTGTTTATTTATACTGCGATATTAAAGATAAAATTATGTTTAAAAAATAAAGGGGGTCGCCGTACATCTAACAAATTTTAAATATGGTCGGAACACTTCGTTTGCGAGCCTAACTCGGACTTCAACTGTTTATTTTTTACAATTAAATAGTTTAATTAATGACGGCAATCAGAGTTTGAACTTTGTCATTTATTATGAAATCTCTAACGACATTAAAGAGGTAATAACATGTCATTAAAGAATACACGAGTTAACCATTGTAAGTAAAGGATCCTTGACACTAGCGCTTTTGCCTGGAGTTTTAAAGTAAAGCTTTTATAACATCGCCATAAAGTTTTAGATCATTTTTTTTAATTAGTTTCTATAGTTTTTTTCTACGTAGCAATAAAAGTCTTTGAAAGTGATCCAAAAGCGGTCTTTAGTCTGCTACGCTATACTGTCAATAGCGAAATCTTTCTTTCAGTCGTGTTCAGAGGTCAATTTACTTGTAAGTTTGATTAAAGGTAATGCTGTTATTCTCTGTGCTATTTTTTTTAAAAATGGTTATACTGCTTTGATTTTAAATGGCTTTAAATTTATTGACGACACAGAATACGCCGAATAAGGCCGTTTGACAACCGAAACTAAACGGCTACGAGAAATCTTGGCCTCCCTGATTCAAAACAACTCCAGTAAATATATCAACAAAAGCACCTATATATGTACATATTTTTAATATCTCTTATCTATTAGACAAGTCCGTCCGTCTGTCTGTGGTGCTGTTTCAGCGGCCAAACCGTAAGAGATAAGAGAATATTTAAGTTATAAGTTAAGAATAGTCTGATAAGACTACAAACCGGATTTGAGTAACGTAGCACTTCCGGTTTTCGAGAAATCAGGTTTTGGTGAACATTTGGTTCACTGGTTTGCTAGTTATTTATTATATCAATATTTATGTGTATATTTAGCTTTATACCGCCGTTCGCGTTTATCCTTTTTCCCAAAGGTTGACTGTGAGAGAATGCTATTAGCATTAAGTCCGCCTTTTGTACCATTCTATTGTAATTTGGTCAATAAAGTTTAAAATAAATAAATACCTACCTACGTATTCATCACAAAGAAAAAATTGTTGTCATCATTTCAACGTCGACGATTTATGATTTGTCTAATACAAGGTTTCAAAAACTTACAAATTAAAAGTTGCGCCGCCGTTTATTACGTTTTCCAGTGACATGTTGTTTTGCTGATTGATAGCAACTAGTTAATTATGGGTGTTTTTTATTGTTTGTTTGTCTTAACTACGTATTGCGTAGATTAAGGTGGATTTTTAAGTAAGATGTGACTGAATTATATTTATCTTAAATCGTTATTTGTGTATAATGTATATGTCCCTTTTTATGTAGGTGTTATTCCAACAGGTATTTTTTAAGGTTAATACAGCAGCTGCCGTTTAAGCACGGCTAACTGCTTAAAAAACAATTCACACCGTTCGATCGTCGCTGCGGCGCATTCGCGACTGGATGCCCACCGGGTGCCGCGCGAACTCGAGTGGCGTAGGTATGACACGCTTTCCGACCGTTTGTATGAAGATAGTATACTGTATGAATAATATTACCGTAGTTTGGGATTAGGCTAACTGGTGTGAGTGTCAGAAATATTTATTGAAGTTATACTTCTTTAGGCGCGTTATGAAAAAATGATGAGAGTGAAATTTTAAGATGCGCGCGCATCAATGTAACACAAAATTTTAACATGCGTTACTTTTGTGTTTACCGCAAATAAGAAAATCTACCAACAATATAGAAATAGAATCTCTATTTAGTGGGTGCTAACGACTGCATTGTGAAGGCCTATCAAAAGTATTTATTAATCTGGAACAACGGAACCAAAGCGCGATTCAGGAGACTACAGCGCCATCTCTTGACCATTGGTGTAGTAGAACCAAAAACCACATCTTTATTTTTTGTAATAAAGTAACAGTTATAGGTATTCATATTTATAATATTTATCCACATGTTTCTAGTTTGTATATTCGGAATACGTGTTTAAGTTTCATATAAGTGAATATTTTGATTATTTATTTATTTTTTCAAATTAAAACTGAACTTTATTTGACTGTGTCCTTTTCCAGACTTTTTATTAATTTATTGTAATTAATTATTTGCATGCAATTAAAAACTAATTTTAAACGATGCCAAAGAAGGATAACTTCTCACGCGCCTACATAAGTACACGCACCCATTTTTTTTATATATTCTAATCTTCACTCACTTGTATTATGTCGTATACTGGGTTCGGATGATCCGCCACCACGTTAGCATACGAGGTGCAGTACAGCCCCCCTGGTTGGTTCACGCAGTGAGTGAACCTGTCTACGTGGACCAGAGGTGGCATCATCGCGAACTGCTCATCTGTGGACAAGAAGAACAAGGAAAAATAATAATTATCATCAGCCTATTAATATCTCCATTGTAGGGGTTCAGGCTTTCCCTATGGATGGAATAGGGAGACTGGGCCGCCGTGACCTACTACGCGGGCCCAGTGCGGATTGGTGGGTGTAAAAGACTGCAGATGCAGCCGGGACCAACGGCTTAACGTGCCTTCCGAAGCACGGAGTACCTCGAGATAGAAGATTTTTGGCCACCCATCCAATGACCAGCCACTGCGAAAGCTTTGAAATAATGCTATGGACAGGTGACGGCGGTCTATAACCGAGGTTTACACAAACATTTATTTCAGATTATTCATCCATAATGGTTAGTAACAATGATGCTTAAAAACTAGTGTTAGTAGATTCAATTAAAAAAAAAACGACGGGTTGCACTCCGGAAGTGCCGACAGAAGAAAACTTGAATATTTACGTTGTGCATTTTTGATATTTTGGAATGATTGGGGAATAATTTTGCACGAATTGCTTTAATTATCAGAATAAAAGTACTATCATGTATGTGGTAGAATACAATATTTATTTATTGCGTTATCGTACACAAAAATGTCAATTTATATTATATTAAAAAAGTTTATCTCATAGAAAATCTTACCTGAATCACGTTTAAGCGCACTTAGCGACATCTATTGTAAAAAAAATGCATTTTCTTCGCAATAAAGCTGCCACGTGGACGTCCTAGATAGAGACTTATTATTATAATACGGTAAAATAAAATATTACTATGTTTCGTCCAATATATTGAAAGTCAATAACCTTTCCAATTTTATTGTGTGTCATGATGCAATCAGCCCACGTGTTTAACCTGACGTGAGTTTAACATTTTTTACCCATACAAAAAATGTGTACAACGCCGCTAAAGAAGTTTTCGCTTCAAAAACATATCAATAATAAATAAAAAAAAAATCGACAAAGGGGTCACCGCCGCTGTATGCAGATGGATCCAGCGCATAAGCAGCGATGAATCCCAGCGTTCGGACAACGCGCGCACGATACTGTTTGGGCTGGCGCGTACGCGCGATAGCAACGACCAACTACGCTTGCGCATAATAGGGTATTTGACAAGTTTTAGAAAACAATCTCACGTTATTGAATAATGTTCATGGAGTCCGTAAAAAGTGGATATTCATCATTCTGTTGCGTATATCAGTAAAAATAACTAAATCAAAAACTCCATTTACAAGTTGCCGCGAAAACGTTTCTCTGGACAATATGGCGTCTTACTAGTGTGTGACGTCACACGACTGTTATTGGAACGTCAAACGATACAATGAAATTTCACTTTAACCGGAAGTTTATTTGCGTGTGACGTGATTTTAGGCTCTGCCAATCCCAAGCGTTTTGCGTCACGTGACAATAGATAAGAAAGAAAGAAAGAAAAACACAGACAACAGAACAGATGAGAAAACTATTATCTTTTTCGTGGGTTTTTAGTAAAGTTATGCATATTTTTTGTGTAAAAATATTAAAAACCCCTGCCAATATTCATTCTAAACACAGATGCTAACAATTGACATTTTATTTTTAATGCTGTTAAATACCCTATTGCATAAAATTATGAATTGAGACAGTCGATTTTTTTTTACCTTTAATTTAATTTAAAGAGATTTGAATAAAACAAGTATCAACGGTATAGATACACTGATTTATTTATTGATTGACGTTTCGCATCCTTTTCAGGATGTGTCTTTTGAATTATGCGTCGTCCTTTTTAGGATGCGACACGTCAATTAATAAATAAATCAGTGTATCTATACGGTTGAAACTTGTTTTGTTTAATGAGTGGTGTGCGTGAAAACCTAAGAAACAAATATTAAAGAGATTTTTCAGCATGTAGTGCAAATAACTACGCAGTGACACCGACTACATTGTGACAAAGTGTGAAGGTGACATTTATACACATAATTGGGTATCGGACATGACTACGTAAGATCCAATCTTTATAATTATGGCATAAAGCTATGTATTTTAGAAGATTGTTATGCATCATGGAATGTTATAAAGGGGCCGTCCATTAATCGCGTGATGTTTTTTTTTGCATCTTTTAACCCCCTACTCCCCCTTGGTGATACATGGTGAGGTTTAAGTCTAAACCCTCCCCGCGGGCCCTATATCACGTGTATTTTTAGTATTTATAGTGTTACAGAATGCGTTGAAGAAATAAAGGTTCACTGTTCGTTCCCCGTAGGTAATATAGTGATAATATGTAGCCTAAAAGTTGACCCGACTTCTTAATAATATTCGTGCCAAATTCATGAAGTACTTCTTGAGTTTATCCCGGACATACATATAGACAAACAGAGAAAAATTCTAAAAACTATATTTTTGGCTTCGGTATCGATTGTAGATCACACCCCAAGTATTCTTTTAAAAAAATATTCAATGTACTGTTTTGACTTTCCTACCATTTTATTAGCAATATAGATATCTGAGAAAAGTTGTAAAGGCGATTTTATATACTCCTAGGTGATAAGGGTGGTTTGGGGTTATTTTCCGAAGTATATACGAACAAAGTTGCGGGCAATACAAATTTGTAGGGTTCTTACAAAACACTTACTTAATAAAATAAAAATATAAGGAGCTTCTATACAACAAACGTCATTTTTTTTGCCGTGCTTGCTCGATATCAATAACTGTACCTTTAGAACGAGTTTACAATTACGAAAACTATGATAGTTTCGTGAGCTCGCACTCGTACTAAGGGTACAGATTTTATTGTTTTCGTTTCAATATAAATAAACATTGTTTAATATCTATCATTAAATCATTTGCATCTTCTTAAATTTTAAAAATATTTGGTTACTTTTCACCAAAATGAACATAGAAACATAATTTACAATTACGAAAAGTATGTTCGTGAGCTCAATCTCGTACTTAGGGTACGCTTGAAATATTCAGTTGTATATTTACTTTAAAAATAAATAATCAAAGTAAAGTAAGTATTTAAGTATATGGGGCTTCCATACAACAAACGTGATATTTTGCATTTTTTTTTTGCTCGATATTATATTATATAATAAAGTAGTTTTAAGCTTTGTAATTTTCAATATTTCTATGTAAATATAAACTTATTAATTTCATATTGTAAAGATTGTAGATTTTATATAGTGTCTAATGTTATATAGACAAAGGTACTGGACGCTTCGTACGCGAGTCAAACTCTCACTTGGCCAGTTTTTAATAATATCTATTCAATTGTAAAGGCGTACAAAGTGAAGAAATGCATCCGATTTATTTAAAGATTTCTCTAGCTTGCATATTACTAAACCTACCTACATCATGATTTCGTAACCATAGTATCGCGGTCAAGGTTTCATAATAAAATATATTTTAAGCACGTGAATTAACGTCAAAGAAATTTTGTGGTCTGTTTATCAGACTGTGATCTGCTAGGTGAATAAGCTGTTCTATGATGCAATACGACTAGCTTAAGTTGAATGTTAAATTGAATTGGTAAACAGTTGAGGTAAGTCAATAAATGTATTTTCCTTCATAAGCTTGGATGTTCAATTAAAGCTAAATAGCTTAAGGCTTAGATTAAGGAGCACCGTTTCTTTTTTGGAACGTTTGTCATTACCGTATAATAATAATAACTACCTATAAATTTTAATAAATAAAATTAGGTAATACGGCAAAATCATGATTTTTATTTAAAAATACGGCAACTCCTTCAAACTTGATGGCAAAACTGACTCCACTCTTTAGCCTTCCCGCGGCAGACCCTGTTATGTTGAGCAACCTTACTGAAGATGGTATTAAGAATCTCTGTGGGAGGTAAGGTCAACGAACCAAGAGAGACAGTAGGCATCATTTGGGGCGTCTGACGGCTCGGCTAGAGAAGAGAGGAGAGGAGAGAGCACCTGTCTGGGACCTCCACCTTACAAAAGATCACAGTAAAATAACATTATCCTTTTGGTGGTGTTATATTTCTGTCGATGAGTAGGGTTCTAGGGGATTGGGTCAGTGTAGGCAACGGTGCTAGTGATTTTATTTGTTTTACGAGTGTTTATGCCTTAGTGTCGCCGCACACGGGCCACTGACCACAACCACAAAACGCTGCCACCGGCATATTTCTTGTAGTTTTCATACATTTTATATGGACTCGCCACACACGGTACGCCGGTGGCCGCCACACGCTACAAATCGTCGTTGCTGGCACCGGTCACTTAATGCGCCGATACAAAACGCCGCCACACGCCACTCGCGCGATTCACCACCCCTCTCTCCCTTACCTTAGTCGGCCGCTGTCGCGCGCTTCAGCCACTTTAGTAGCCGCTTCTAGCTTCTCGTGGCGGCGTTTGTGGCTGTGGCATGGGGCCCGTGTGCGGCAACACTTACAGAAGATAGTAGTTAGAATCTCTGGGGCAGGTAAGGTCAACGAACCAAAAGAGACAGGAGGCAATATTTGGGGCGTCTGACGGCTCAATGATCTGGGTACGCTTAGAGAAGAGAGGAGAGAGCACCTGTCTGGGAAAGTGTTACCTCCACCTTACAAAAGATCAAAGTAAAATAACATTACCCTTTTGGTGGTGTTATATTTCTGTCGGTGAGTAGGGTTCTAGGGCAGGGTAGGCGAACCTTTATGAATCAACGTGCCATTTTTTCTAAAAAATCTTTAATTGGGTCATTGGCATGCCATCAAATAATTTTGACTTTATGATTATTTAGAAGATAATAATATAAATACTATCAGAAATCTTTATGAAATAAAGTAAACCAAAGAGACACATTCTGGAATGTTTTTATTACACGCATAAATTAGATTACTGTAAAATTAGTGTGACTTCTGTTGCTGCAGGTTTGATAACAAATAATTTATGTTAGGGTTGTAAGATGCTACTTTTAGCAAAATGCATGCTGAACTGGATTCATCTTTCAAACGGTTTCTAAACGAGTTTTTAATGTTATTCATCTCTGAAAACAATGACTCGCAGGCATTGGTAGATGAAAATATTGTTAAAATAG